GCTCTGGAAATATACGGAGTCCAGGGATTCGCCCTACTGAATCAGAGCCTCCAGCGGGAGGGGCCAGGAATTTATGTGTTTGAAACATTTCCCAGATGATGATTGCAGTCATTCAGGTGTGGGCTGTATGCTAGATCATGTTGTATCAATGTGAAATTTTGTAGGTGTGCTAAGGGCATCGTGTTTACATAGGAGAATGACTAGAGGCAAAGTGGTGAAGCAGAGAGAGAGAGAGAGAAGAGAGAAGAGAGAGCGCTCAAGTGAGCACAAAGCAGCACATGCAGGTGGGGATAGGAAACTGACCTTTCCGATCATTTCCATCTGTTCTCTTGAGAGATGGACACTAGGAGACAACACAGGACTGCCAATGTGCACAACTCCAGGGGGCGCCATTCACTTGGTTTCTTTGTCAGGATGCCACTGATATAAAATACAAAGTGTGGCGTGCTCTTGGGGTTGTGTGATAGCGGTGCTGGCCTCAGATACCTCTTCCTGGATGGGCTGTGGAAGAGAAGGACAGAGGCCCTCACTCACCTACCCTCTCTCCTGAGACCTATGTGACTCTATGTATATGTATTTTTTTAATGGAATCCCTCGTAGCCCTTAAGGACTAAGGGACTAGAGCAGTTTCCAATGTGTCAACCCAGTAGAGGCTGCTTCAGAGAAACTGAATTGGGGTAGGGAGGAGGCAGGAAATAGGAGACCTGATTCCTAAAATACTTGGCTCCCACTCCCCGAAAATGAAATTTGGGGCTTAGAGCAAGCCAGCTTGCTCTGTCTCAAGGTCATTGGGACTGGTGGCTGCCTCCTTTCCTGCTTCCCTCTCTGGTTTTCCCTGTGCCTGGCTGCTGGTCTCTGAATGCTCACTTCACTTTGGAGGTGGCTCTCGTGGACCTGCAGGGGATGCTGTTTGTCCTGTCTCGTCACCGTCACCGCGTCCCACTCTCTCAGCATCCGTGTGAGCCTTTAGGAAGGAGCAGCTGCCAGCTTGGCCCCTGGTGTGACATGTGTCAGCACAGGCTGGGCTTCCTTCCCTGCATGATGGGGGGGGGTGGGCAGGGGGATGGTGGTTACAGAGGGTAGCTGGCCTTTCCTGTGTCTTGGGAAAGCCTCAGGAGCTGGGCCTGCTTGGCTCACCCCTGGGGCTTTTCCTTGCATTCTCTGTGACTTTGGAGTCCTCTGAGGAATTCACCTTGGGGAATCCATAGGTCTGAGTCAAAGAATCTCAGAGCTGGAAGGCATTGCACGGGGTTTTCCTGCCTATCTGTACACCTGCTTACAGGTGCCACACCCAGCCCAGTTACTTTTGAAACCCAGTCCTGTGTTTGAAGGACTCTAAGGAAAGACATCACCTGTATCCTGGTCAGCCTCTCCATGTGGAAAAACATAGAGAGGTGCCAGGAAAAACCGGTCTGTGCCAGCAGCACCAGACACCAGACACCAAACCTCTGCCCTTATATTCAATATTCTCAAAGAATGTTCAGGTACCCTCTTTCTCCGTGGAAGTAAGGTGAATTGGGATCTTGAGGAGCTTAGTGGGGGTGACAGATCCCGAATCGTGTAATTTTTTTTTAATATTTATTTTTTAGGTGTAGATGGACACAACACAATGCCTTTATTTTTATGTGGTGCTGAGGATCGAACCCAGGCCCCGCCCGTGCTAGGCGAGAACCCTCTACCACTGAGCCACAATCCCAGCCCGAAATGTGTGATTTTGAATAAAATAATTTAAGCCCATGTTTGGAATATGTACAGGTAGCTGTGTGGAGCAGAAAGAAGGGATCCAATCTGGGGGTTCAGAGAAGACTTCTTAGCCTGATCTCTTAGCAAATCTCGGAGAGGTGAGTTAGAGTCACACAGGCAAATGGGACCAGGAAGGGCAGCCAAACTCAAGGGCTAGCACTTGAGCCACATCACAGAGGGATCAAATACACACTGATCACGGGTTGGGGATGAGCTGGAGGTGAGTGGGAGATGGGGGCAGATGATAAAGGCTTTGCGGAGGAGTCAAATAGAGAGCCTTTGAAGGATTGGTTGTTAGCAGGGAGTGAGATGATCCAATTTACACTTCAGAAAGCCCTCAGGCTGCTCTGTAGAGAAAGCCTTGGAGATGGGAAGATTAGGAGGAGGAAGGACTGTTAGGAGGCTATTGTACTGAGAGGAGATAAGGGCCTGAATTAGGACAGCCCCGTTAGGATGGAAGGGAGCCCTAGTCCGGGGAAGTCCTGAAGGGGAAGAGACTTGGCAGTTCTTGGTGATTGGATGTGGGGGCTGAAGGAGGGAGGACACTAGGGTGTCTGTTGAGTTTCTAGCTTGGGGGTAGAATATGCCTCTCAGGAGTCAGGAGGGAGGAGCAGGGCGTAGGGAGGAAAGAAGGTGACAGTTCAGTTTGGGCCATCTGGATTTTGAGATTCAGGTGGGCAGATGAACTTGAAGGAGGGATACACATTCAGAACCAGCACCTGTGGGTGGTGGGATAGATGGGACTGCCTGAGCAGGGGGGTCGCGTGGTGACACAGGGCCAAGAAAGGAAACCTGAGCCAACACCAGCATGTCAGGACTGGGCAGAGGGAGAGGAGGACACAGATGGAGGCAAAAAGCAAGAAAGAAAACTGCATCGAAAGCCAGAGTCTTAGGAAGGAAGGGGATGGTCCGCAGAGCCAAGTGCTGCAGGGACTTCTGGGCAGAGGGAAGTGCCTGCTGAGCCGGGCAGCCTGGGCATTGTTGCTGGAAACGCCAGATGACAGTCAGTTAAAGAGGGCATGGGAAGGGAGAGTTGGGGAACATCAGGTATTGCTGCTCTCTTGTGAAGGATGGCGAGAAGGGAAGAGAGCAGAGGACCAAGCAGCAAGGGAAGGTGTTTAGGTTATAAGTAGTGGGGGTGACAGATCCCGTTTTGTTTTTAAGGCTGGAAGAGGCCTGTTGATGGGCTGAAGAGAGAAACCACATAAGGTCAAGAGGTTGAAGTACAGAGAAGTGAAGGGAAATCCAGTAACATCACCCTGGAGGAGATCAGTGGTTGGCACATGAGCAGAAGAGGGTTGTGCCGATACATGGGGTTGGAAAAGAAGCAAGTGCTCTACCACTGAGCCACATTTTATTATTTAAAAAAAAATTTTTTTTTTTGGTAGTTGTAGATGGATAGAATATTATCTTATTTGATGTGTGTGTGTGTGTGTGTGTGTTGCTGGGGATTGAACCCAGGGCCTTGCTGCATGCAAGGCAAGCACTCTACCAACTGAGCTGTATCTCCAGCCCTCAGCATAGCTAATTTGTTTTTCATCCATGTGCATGCATTAATCAATAATTCATTCCTTTTCCTTGCTGAGAAGTATTCAATTGTAAACACATAGACATACCACATTTTTTAAAAAGTTGTTTGCCTGATGATGGACATTTGGGTCATTTCCAGTTTGGAATTATTGCAATAAGGCTTCTGTGAATATTTGTGAATATTTCTAAATCTGTGTGGATATATGCTTTCAATTTTCTTGGGTAGGTTACCAGTTGTTTGCAGTGTGGGAATTGAACCCAGGGCCTCCTGCATGCTAGCAAGTGCTCTGCCATTGTGCCCTCCTACATCCCTAGACAATTGTCCTCTTTTTTAAAAATTTTTTTATTTTTGCAATTCTGGGGATCAAACCCAGGGATGGTCTACTACTGAACTATATCCCCAGCCCTTTTTATTTTTTATTTGGGGACAGGGTCTCTCTGAGTTGCTCGGGCTGGCCTCAAACTGGCAATCCTCCTGTTTCAGCCTCCTGAGTCCCTGGGATTATGGGCATAAGCCACCACGTTCATCCCCTTTAAACTGGAGAGTTGGCTCCTCTAAATTTTTCTTCTTGTCTGATGAAAGGCACCCCTCTCTTTCCTTGGGGCATACAGGAGAGAGATGAAGATAGGAGTTAGTGACCAGAGATGGAGACATGTATAGATGAGTGGGTGGGGGGATGGATATAATAGATGAAGTTGACCTGGTATCTCATTTTTCCTCCATCTCTCTGTTTCCCATCTGTGGTAGGCACTGAAGAAATGGGCACGAGCCCAGACTATGTCACCTACATCAGCTGCTTAATGAGTCTCTCTTTGTGGCTGAATGATATTTTTACTCCTCCTCTGCAGGTATCCAGACACCATGCTTCAGCCCTCCAGTCCTGACATTGGTAGGAAGTAGAAAGCTTCCTTCTGTCGCGTGCCCCCGTCCTCACCATGTCTTCGACTCAGGACAATGGGGAGCACTGGAAGTCCCTGGAGTCAGTGGGGATCAGCCGCAAAGAACTGGCCATGGCAGAAGCCCTGCAGATGGAGTATGATGCTCTGTCCCGTCTCCGGCATGATAAGGAGGAGAGCAGGGCTAAGCAGAACCTGGAGCCCTCTCTCATCAGCTGGGATGAGCCTGTCTCAGACCTCTACCACAAGCCCGCAGCAAGGCGGGGTGACCTCAAGCTGTTACGGGGTCTCTCTGGCTCTGATCCTACCCTCAATTACAACTCGCTCTCCCCACAGGAAGAGCCGCCCAACCACTCTACCTCCCCGGGCCCCGAGCCTGGCCCAGATCCCTGGCCCAAAGGCTCACTGTCTGGAGACTATCTCTACATTTTTGATGGTTCCGATAGGGACCTCTCTTTGTCCCCGGGACCAGGGAATGTAGATGACTCTTGCAAGAAACTGTCCCCACCTCCTTTGCCTCCCCGAGTCTCTATCTGCGATACCCCTCCCCTGCCTCCCAGAAAGGGGTCCCCCTCATCCTCCAAAATCTCTCAGCCCAATGACATCAACACTTTTTCTTTGGTGGAACAACCCCCTAACAAACTGTTGGGGCACCGGATCCTGGAAGAGGAAGAGTTGCCAGGAAATGGGGGGCAGGGGCGCCTGCTGGGGTCTGTGGATTATGATGGTATCAATGACGCAATTACAAGGCTCAACTTGAAGTCAACCTATGATGCGGAGATGTTGCGGGATGCCACTCGGGACTGGAAGGAAGGCCGAGGGCCCCTGGATTTCAGCAAGGACACCCCTGGAAAACCTGTGGCCCGGAGCAAGACCATGCCCCCTCAGGTGCCTCCCCGAACCTATGCCTCCCGCTATGCCAACCGGAAGAATGCGACACCAGGCAAGAACCGCCGGATTTCTGCTGCTCCGGTGAGGACCTCACTGTATTTCTTCTGTTCCCCTTTTCCCATGTCATTCAGAAACAAGGACCAGGCCCTCTTCTTTGCTGTTCCAAGTTCAAATCTGCCAAGTACTCACCCTTTAGTCCTCTCCTCCCCTCTTCTGCCATCGGGAATCTGGGCCCTGGTGGGTAAAGGTCCAAGGTGGGCTTGATTGTGTTGTGGGGGGGGCAGGAGAGGGACACCAGTAAAGAAGAAATGGGCACGAGCCCAGACTATGTCACCTACATCAGATTATTGATGAATCTCTCTTCGTGTCTCTTAGCCAAAAGAGACTTTCTGGGGTTAGGAGCTTTGGAACCCTGGTTCCTAGCATGTGCTGACCTCATCATGTAAGGACTATACCAGGAGTTAGGGGATTTGTCACTAACTCTGGGTGAATGGCCCTGTGGACTTAAGCAAGTTGTTTCCGGTGCCTGAGGCCCTGCTCTGACAAAGCGCTGTGCAACCTCGAGGCTCATTCATAATATCAGCCACTTGTTTAGTGCTCACTGAATACCAGATCCCGATCCAGGTCTCCACAACAACCCTGCCTGATGGTCCAAAGCCCCACGTCAAGACATGGCAGAGCTGGCATCCAACCCTGGTCTCCCTGTCCCAAAGCCCCCCTCTTCTCCTCCTCTTCCTCCCTCTCCCTCTCCCTCTGTGCCCAACCTCCCCTGTCTGTCCCTTTTGTTGTGGTAAGAACTACAGAACACAAGACTTAACCATCTTAACCATTTTTAAGTGTACAGTTCATTGTACCAAGTACAGTCGCATATTGTGTGTGTCTTCACTGCTATCCATCCCACCCACTCTTTTCCTAGTGAAAATATTTAGAAAAAACATAGAATCATGAGAGTAATTTGACTTGCATCACTATGTAGTATAAAGTAGCAAAGTCTCTCCGTTTCGCCCCAGGTGGGCTCCAGGGCAGCTTTGGTCTGTTTCTGGCTGAGAGAAGTGTGTCCACAGCATCTCCATGGGTGGGACCTAAAGCCTGCCTTGTGTGTCACCCTTGGCCCTGCCCACCGTGGCCTCAAGGTGTCAGGCGTCCTCCCCCAGGGCTGACGACTTCTGTGGCTCTTCATTCCATCCCCGTTTCCTCCTTATCCATTGTCCAAGGGGCACTGGGGCTTTCCCACCTCACACCCAGCCTTTGGGATCCATCCCAGTTCTGAAGAGCTACTCAGTCCTTCCTTCCTCTGCTGAGAGAGTCCCCCCAAAAGCAGAACCAGCTCCTGGGATAAGCCACCGCTCCAGAGCTCAGGGCTTTTTAAAGGCCCTGCTCTGAGAGGTGGGGCTGCTCCCGCTATTTATAGGGACTGGGAGATTCCTGTTCCTTGCTCAGAGCTGGGCCTTGCTCAGGCCACCCTGGGAGGTGGTCAGCTCTGTCCTCTCTCCTGCCTCCTCTACTCCTTCACCCTTCCCCCATCCTGAGTGTCATCAGAGTTCTAAGAGGGAGCCCTGGCTGAAGGCTCCTTGAAGAAGCACGGGCAGAGCAAACGTCTCTTGCCAATTTGGAGGGGAAATGCGGCCTTGGTCCTCCCCACCTCAGCTGGGGGCAGGGGCTCAGCCCGCCGGGAGGGGGGATCCCTTGGGCCCTCAGCCTGTACCCCCACCCCGCCTTCGCCGGGCTTCCAGCCGGAGGGACCCTCATCCCAGGCCTGCTGAGCCATCTCTGGAAATGGTTGGCTCCAAATGCCAGCCTGGTACCCCCGCTGCCAGCCTCTGCCTGGCAGACTCCCCCAGCCAGCATCGGGAGATGGCACCAGGGCCTGCCAGCCGGGCAAACGTAAGTGGCTTTTGTTTTCCTCCAGTGCCAGTGAGTGGTACGGAAAGGGCATGAAAATGGCCTTCAGTAGCCATTCTGTTCTGCCCCTCTCCCTCTCCTGCCTGCGCTTCCCTCTCCTCTCTGTCTCTCTCTCTTTTGTGGGTTAATTGCTGACAGTGGTTCTATTGTTTTGTCCGGGACACAGGCATGCACTTGGCAGAGCCAGGGCCTCACATGCCAACTGCCCCTACGACTGCCCTCCCCTCTGTGTCCCCCACCCCACACAGCCAGGGGAGCAAGGCTGCTGAGAGGGTCACCCAGAGAAAACAGTCACATATTCAAATGAGGAGCTCAGTTGCTGCCATCTGCCCTGAGGGGCAGGGAGGACCTGAAAACAGCCAGTGGGGAGGGTGAGAGATGAGAGGTGCTGGTGGTGTGGTGTGCACAGACCCGAGCATCAGGCTCCGCCCTGGAAGCAGCTGTTAGAACCGGCTGCCTTTCCTGCAGCAGGCTGAGACTCCCTGGAGCGCAGGCCTCCTTCTCTGGGATGGCCGACCTGGGCAGGTTGTCAGGCAGCAACCTGTCAGCAACTTGCCCCTACTTTCTCCTCCTTGAGGCTTATTTGAGGACTTCTTTAGGCCCCTCCTGGGTGACTGAGAGCAGCTATGGATGGGAAACAGTTGTGGGTCTTGTCTGACAACCCCAGCACCACACCATGCTCTGGGAGAAGAGGTAGGCCAGCCAGGGCAGGCTGTCCAAGTTCCAGCCCTTCAGAACCAGCAAGCTCTGGAGCCAGCTGGAGGGAGCCAAACTTTCTCCCAGGTTCTGTCCTGCCCAGACCTCTGCTTTGACACTTTCTTCCTCAAATAGCACTTACGGAGAAGGCACATGTGTCTGAGTCATCGTCTACCAAAGGGCTCTAGATCTAGCTCCCTTTGCACCTCTGGGGTGTCAGAGGGCCAAGCCCCTCCTGGGACCATCTGGAACCCCTATCTGCCCTGGTCTCAGTGGAAGGGCTGGGATAAATGGCCACCAGATCAACTCCCACTTCACCTCTGGGAGCCTCCCCAAGAAAACTCTCGCCCCGCATGGCCGCACATGGCCCACCTGGCTGCCCCGAGCTGGTCAGAGACTTGTCCACGGCACCCCACTTCCATACTCAGCCCAAGCGTCAACTCTTCTCTTTTAATGTGGCTGTTGGTCTCCCAGGATGGCACACAAGTGTATTTATGGGTTTTCTATATTTTCATATGCCCCTTTCACTGTATCGAAGAGCTGGAAAGTCTTCACCCCTAGATGTGGGAGTCCCTTCAGGAAGGGGGTGCTATAGGGGAAAGGCACTGAGTGGGCTGCTCTTCCCTTCAAGGTGGTCTCCCGGCACCACACTGTTGCCAACGGCCACGAGTTGTTTGAAGTCTCAGAGGAGAGAGACGAGGAAGTTGCCGCGTTTTGCCACATGTTGGATATGTAAGAGTTCAAGAATGGGTGGGGGCTTGGAGGATTGGGGTGGGGGAGGAGGGTCACCCATTTCTGAACTTACTTTAGAAGGAAGAAGAGCCTCAATTCAGAGCTATGAGATGCCTCCCAGATCAGGTGTCTGCAGGGTTTTTGAAATCTTAGAAGCCTCATATTTTTATTAAAATTCATAAAATTCATCCAACAGTCCAGTCGACCTCACCACTTTAGGCCCTGACCCTCAGTGGCCCTTAGGAGCAGATGCACCCCAGGTAAAATAAGAGTGTTCTCTTGAACTGAAAAAAAAAAGGAAATGGATTCATCAAAGTTTTCTGTTAAACTTAATATGGAAATCTTTGTCATTTGGAACTCTCTCTGCTGTTCCACTGTGGGAAATATTTTGCAACTGTAGCAGAGAATGAAGAGGCCAGTTTCCCACAAGCTGCCTCCCCACAGCTCCCAGTCTGGCCTGCAGACCCAGAGGGCTAAGCTGAGTGGGGACAGAGGGACCCTTGGCCAGGAGGGTTCCCACAAATCTCTTGTCGACTACTCTCTGAAGGCACAGCAAGGGCCCTTCTCCCTCTTCCTGCACAGCCTTCGATCTGGCTCTGATATCCAAGACTACTCCCTCACCGGATATGTCTGGAGCGCTGTAACCCCAAGCCCAGAACACCTTGGGGATGAGGTCAACCTGAAGGTGACAGTGTTGTGTGACAGCCTTCGGGAGCCACTCACTTTCACCTGCAACTGTAAGTTAGGGAGGGCATGTGAACTGGGGGAGGGGTAGCTATGTTTTGGACTGTAGTTATGAACCTTTGGTCTCCATCCCACCTCACCTTGTGGACCATGGGGATGGAGAGCAGTGGGAAAGAGACTGTCTCCGGGGCCATCTTTCTGTGTCCACAGCCACTTTCTTAAACCCCAAGCTGTTTGTTTGCCTGCATCATGTGGTTGGCAGTGATGCTGGAGAGGGCTTACTGGGGACAGGAGATCAATAGGGGCTGAGCCCTGCTTACCCCTTGCCCACCACCGTTGCTTTCCCGACCCTGCTCTTTTCAGGCTCCTCCACAGTAGACTTGCTCATCTACCAGACCTTGTGTTACACCCACGATGAACTGAGGGAAGTGGACGTGGGGGACTTTGTACTAAAGCCCTGTGGGCTGGAGGAGTTCCTTCAGAAGTGAGTGAAAGGGGGCAGAGGCTTGTGGGTGGGGCAGCACCTGCCTTCTGGAGGCCTGGGGTGTAGGGCTTGGGAGAGGGCTAGGCTCCTGCACTGGCAGCTCCGCCCCCTCCCTGCAGTCAGGACTCCTGCTTTCTGGGCACACTCCCGGCCACGTTGCGCTTTCCCCAGGAGCTCCGTTTTCCAGCAGAGTTGGCTGGATCCTAAGCCAAATCTGCTGTGGAAAGTGCTTGGAGCTGGGATTAGGCAAAGTTGAGGTCCTATCTGCTTGCAGACTTCTGCTCGAAGAGATGTGCATACTGGGGGAGGGTGGTTTCTCCTCTCCACAGGATGTGCGGTGTCTTCACAGCTGAGGTAGCAGGACTAGGCAGAGGCACCCTCGCGGAACCTAGGGGAGAAAATACAGTTGCTGTCTTCCCCTTCCCCTGCCAACACTCCTTTGTCCCGCTGGCCCATGCAGCGGGTTGTCCTCCTCCCAAAGGCTGGCTTCCAGCTCCTCTTCAGCCAGTGCCCTCTGCAGAAGGCAGCGTCCCTGGAAAGTGTGATGTGGACCAGCTGAAGCAGCCCCCTTTCTGCTACCCCAGGGCTCTGGAGGGCTGGGCTGCAGGGGAGGCAGAGGCAAGGTTCCCACCCCTGGCTGGTACAGTTGTGTGGCAGCAGACAGATCAGGTTGGCCACTGCCCAGCATTTCCAGCCACTTGGAAGAAGCAGGCCCTGGGAGTAGAGAAAGGTGAAAGCCACACTCCTTCCATCGAAGAGCCTGCTGGGCACCGCCACTCACTCCTTCTTGCAGGCAGGTCTAGATACCAAGATGGTCACCCGTGACTAGACCACAGGATTGGTAGTCAGGAATGGAGATTCATTTTTTTGACTGATTTCAACCTTAGGGATATTGTGGGGTCTTTGACAAGCCCCACAACTCCGGGGACACATTCAAACATGCCCCATGTGGTTCTTACTTATGTCCTTACTTCCCCTAGAGGTAATAATAGGGGTCTGAGGTCATGATGTTGTGACAGGGAAGCCCTAGGCAGCCTCCACTGTTGGAGGAAACAAGGGCCATCGTGGGTCAGTTGGGCGCTGGGAAACACCATTACGCTGGCTTGAATTTTGGCTTGCCATGAACTCGTTGTGAAGTCTGACTTTCAGTGTCCTCAGAAAAGAATGATGAGGGTTTGGGTTGGGAGTGTAGTTCAGTGGTAGAGCACTTGCCTAGCATGCATGAGACCTTGGGTTCCATCCACAGCACCCCCCCAAAAATATTGGTGAGGATTAAATGTGAGAGGGACCCAGTGAGCAGTCAGTGAATACCAGCAGGAAAAGATCAGCCCAAAGAGAGGTCTTAATGGGGCTCTGGATTAGACACGTCCCACCATTTCCCTTGCAGCACCCCTAGTCCTGAAGCCCCTAAGTCCAGAAGTAGTAGGAGATGTCAGGTTCTGCCTCTCTGCCAAGACCCAGGTAGAATATTACCAACGTAGTGGGACAGGGTCAGTGGTCCTAGGGTCACACCCCTTCCACTCTGTCTTAAATGCACCCAAAGAAAGCCTTCCACAGAGAAGGTCAAGCAGGCCCCTGGAGACCTGGTCCAGCAGCCTCTCACCTCCTGAAAGTTCTTGACCTAGCCACAGGCTCCTGACATAGGGCAACTGCCCTGCAGTAGGGGTGGCAAGGACCCTCTGGAAGTTTCAGAAAGTCACTAGTCCCGAGGAACCCCTCAGGATTCCTATTCCATGCCTGGCAGGAGGGGCTGATATTGGTGGTGGTGGTGGGGAGTGCTGGTCCAGGATGCAGGCTGCTCTCAGATAAGGACCTTGAGACACTCCTAGGGGAGGGTTGGGTTTCCTGCCACCTCCCCCACCCCCACCACACTCTTCCTTCCTCCTAGACACTCCCGCCAGGGCCTGCCCCTCTGCCCCGCCTCCCTACCCCCAGGCTTTGGCTGCTCTTCAGTCTTAGCAGTTTGGGCTCCAGATTAGAGGCCAGGCCCCTCAGGATGTGGAGAATCCCCTAAATCCTGACTGGATTTGGATTGGCCTCCAGTCCTGCACCTCCACTGGCTTCTGCACATTCCCCTCCCTTTCACACCCCTCCCCTCCCCTCCCCTCCCCTCCCCTCCATTTTTGGCCTAGATTCCCAGCTCTGCTGAGGAAGGAAGTCCGTTTCCGGCTCCTGTTACCCAGCTGCTGAGACCTGGCCCAGGTTGCAGTGTTGGCCTGGAGGTGGGACTCCCTCTGCCCTTTCTTGTGGGTTTCCTTTCTGATTAAGGTGTGATTTGGAAGTGAGGAAGGGGCTGGGTCCCAGAGGGGCTCCCTAGGCCTCCTCCTCTAAATTGAGGTGGGGAGGAGAGTCTCCTGTCTGGATGCTTGAACACTGTGAATAGTATGCACGTTTTTAGGAAGTCCAAATCCGGCGGGACCCCCAGAGGAAGGGAGAATCAACTTGGGTGAGAATAATCATGATGGATTTGCTTTGTTTGGGACCAGCGTCTTAGTCGTTAATATAGAAAGAGGGTAGGAACACCAGAGCCTGGGCACAGTGGATCTCTCTTGGTTGTCCTCTACACTGAAGCTAAGAGATGGGGTGTAAAGAGCTGTCCCCTGAGAAACTCCCTCTCTTCCCCACTCACTCAAGCAGTTCCCAGCCTGGAAATGAACCAGTGATAACAACACAGGTACTAAACACTAAGACAGCCAATATGTGTACAGCCCAGGGTTGTTTGGATAGATCCTTATGCCTTCCCCGACTCCACCATGACATTTTCCAGGAGCCCAGGGTAGGGCCTGCAACACAGGTCCTAGCCCCACTCGGACTCCTCCGGTTTCTTCCTGGTTCTGTCTCCCCAAGGCTAAGGTATGTATCTCTTCCCAAGGACTCTCTAGGATGCTAATGGCCTTGTCCCCCTACCGCTCCAGCAAACATGCTTTGGGCAGCCACGAGTATATCCAGTACTGCCGCAAGTTTGATGTTGACATCCGGCTACAACTCATGGAACGGAAGGCCGTGCGCAGTGACCTGGCCAGGACGGTCCGTGTGGGGAGTGGTTGTTGGGTGCCCAGCGCCGGGGAGGTGGAGAAGTGATATGGGGCACGTTAGGGGAGTGGAGTGGGAGTGCTGAGATAAGGGCATCACCCCTGCTGAGCAGAGTGCTCTGTACACAGGTGAATGATGACCAGAGCCCCTCCACCTTGAACTACCTCATCCATCTGCAAGAGAGGCCAGTCAAGCAGACCATCAGCAGGTGAGTAGGGGACCTGGAAAGAATGGGAACCCTTGACATCAGAGCCTAATCCCTGAGCAGAGGACAGGGAGGGAAGGAATGGGTCTGCCAGAGCTGGGTCTTTTGTGACCTCTCCTGTGATTTTTCTCTGCCCCCAACTCCCAGGCAGGCCCTGAGTCTTCTGTTTGACACTTACCACAATGAGGTGGATGCCTTCCTGCTGGCTGATGTGAGTACATGTCCTGCAGCTGGCCCAGGGGAGCTGCTGGAAGCTCCTCTGCCTCTTACCAGGGCTTCCTGGGACCAGCCAGCACCACCAGGCATCTGGGTAGAGCTGAAACCTTGCTGGAAGAGTCCTTCTTTCCATCCCCCTAGCTCACAGGCCAGCCAAGATCACTACTGGCTGTAGAGCAGCTGGCAAGTGTGTAGAAAGGGGTTCCGCTCCCAAATAGAAGAAGTAGGTCAGGAAGTGTGTGCTGATCCCTGTCTCTGGAGTAGGACATCTCCAAGCAAAGGGAACTAGAGTTGTCTTCCCAGTGCCACAGTTGAATGTGCATTGGCGTGTGCATCCCACTAGCAGTGTTCAGGAACCTTGGGCTTGAAAGGTTGCATTGAGCTGGTGTCACAGGTAGAAAACCCTCAGGAGGTGGAAGGTCCCAAATGCAGAGGGGCTAGCGCCCTTTCTACCTAGACTGGTGAGGAACCTCATACCTCAGAATTATGAGAATAAACATTTGCCCAAATGTCAGGAAGCTAAAAGCAAATCTGCTTTGAAGTGACCTTCAAAAACAACCTTCCCTGCTGGGCGTAGTGGTACACACCTGTAATCCCAGTGGGAGGCAGGATCACAGGTTCAAAGCCAGCCTCTGCAATTTAGAGAGGCCCTAAGCAATCGGTGAGACCCTGTCTCAAAATTAGAAAGGAAAAAAAGCGTGTGGGGGAAGAGCTGGGGATGTAGCTTAGTGGTCAATTGCCCTTGGGTTCAATCCCCAAAATCAAATAAAAAAATCAAAACAACTCTCGCTTCATTGATCTAGTTAGCATCGTGGATCCTTCCTTCTGGGGAGCTGGACTCTGTGTCTAGCTCATCCTCTCCCCACTGCCAGAATCCCTTCACCAGTAGCCTCTACTTAAACTTTGCAATGACGAGGAGAGAGTTCTCTGACCATTCTGCGAATTGTGGCCCTCCCTGTGCTGGCAGGTGCTAGGGATAGAAAAGTATAAGAAATTTCTTAGCCTTTGGGCAGCTCGTGTGATTAGAAAAAAGCGATAGTTGAGTCGAGATAAAAGGACAGCAAGGAGTTAATGAGGAGCCCCTGGAGGGTGCTGGAGAGGGCCACTGACAGGGAAGCCCTTGTCAAGGAGCTGGTAGAATTTTTTCTGGCCCTTAATTTAAATTAATCAGGGCCAGACAGGAGAGGGGATTCCACATGAGGAAACACGGGAGCCAGGTGCAGGGGAAGAGTATAGAATGGGCTATCTATGGAAGTGGGATGGGTTGGCCTGGAGGTTGTGTACTGAGTTATGAGAAATCAGAAAGTGGGCAAGGAGGCCTGCATGGTCTCTTTGGCCTCATTACTCTTCCCTACAGATCGATTTTCTTCCAACTGCAGGCCCCTGAGGGAGACCTGTGCATGTCTGAATAGTAGAAGTGGCCAGGGGCAGACCGATGAGGCTGGGAATGAGAGGTGGTTGGGCGAATGGGCTGAGAACGTGGGCCTGGCTCATTTAACACCAGATTGTTTGCTGTTTGCGGATGCGGGATGTTTGAACACGAAGCATGGATTCCACTAGTTCTTCCTTAGAGTCATTATCCCCTACACTTCCCGACTCATTCATTTAAGTGGGGAGGGGGAGGATTGGGGGCCGCCAGTGTGAGAGCAGAGCTGCCAAGCCTCACGGTGTGGCCTCCCACAGGGGGACTTCCCGCTGAAGGCCGACAGGGTGGTCCAGTCTGTCAAGGCCATCTGCAATGCCCTGGCTGCTGTGGAAACCCCTGAGATCACCAGCGCTCTCAACCAGCTGCCCCCCTGTGCCTCCCGCATGCAGCCCAAAATCCAGAAGGTAAAGAGGCCCGGGCATTTGTAAACGTGGGGAAGTGGGAGAGCAATGTTCATAGGTTACTGGTTGCTGGTTGCTGGGGTGACTAGGTGACCTTTTGCTAAAAAGACTCTTCTTGCTACTTCTATCTTTTAAGCAGTACAAACACAAGAATTCTTGGAAAATGGATGCCAAGTGCATCCCCTCTTCGCAAGGATGAGGGTGGGCCAGGGCCTGCCCCTGGGACGGATTGTGCAAGCCCTGGCCAGTGAAGGCTTATTCACAACCACCCGGGCGTTGCCTCACGGTCTGCTTATCCATCAGGGTACAAAAACCAAACCCGGAGGAGAACGTCCCAAGAGCCAGGGGCTCTGTGACGCCACAGCGGGGGCTGTGTGCCCCAAGAGCCAGGGGCTCTGTGACGCCACAGCGGGGGCTGTGTGCCGTGCAGATGGGGCCGGCGACACAGACACTGTGATCCTCTCAGCGGAGTGGCCTGGGGTTGGGCTTTTTACTAGGGTGGATGCAATGACGATTTTTATCCCCATCAGCTCCCTCTGTCCATCATGCGGCTCTGGTAGAAACCATTACTCCATCCTCCCTGGGGAGTCTCTGCTCCTCACATTTCAGCCCAGCCTGGCCCAGATGAGTGCAGCTGTACAAAGCCCTTTTTCCAGCTGTGATGAAAAAGGCCACGGTCCTGAAGCTCCCTCCCTCTTCTTTTTACCCAACAGGATCCCAGCATCTTGGCAGTGAGGGAAAACCGAGGTAAGGGGACTGCTGTCCCTCTTTGTCCCTTAGGAGCAGCTAGAAACTGCCAGCTCTGCCTCTTTAATTTATGTGGCTGAGCTTGGCCTGCTCTGTGTGTGTGTGTGTGTGTGTGTGTGTGTTTCCCTGCGAGGTGTGGACACAGCTGGAGCCCACATTGCTTTCCACAAATCATTTTCTCATTATTGTTGCTAGTCATTCCTGTGGTGTCCCTGGAAGGGGTGATGAGGTGGGATAAGTGTGTGTGTGGGGGGGGGAGTGAGGTGCAGCCAGCCTTCCCACCCAGATGGGAAAGCTCCCACGTAAGTACGTAGGCTGTGCTTCTTCTCCAGGCTGCTCACAGCCCCTACGGTTCCAATTTAGAACAGATCTTGGGAGAGTGAGAAAGGATTTTTCACTAGGATTTCTCTAGGACTTCCCTGTTGAGACTTTAATACAGAACTTTGCCTTAAAAGCCTATGTTGCTGGAAATCGTACCGTGATTCCCAGTCTTTTAGGTGTCATGGACCAATAAAATGCCCCAAAAAGTATTTGGGAGACCAACACAGAATCACCAGCATTTTTTTTTTCTCTCCACATGCCAAACTCAGAGTCTTGCACATGCTAGGCAAGTGCTGTACTGCTAAGCTACTCCCCCAACCCTGCGAGCTTTTGACTTTGCCAAGAAATGACTTTTTGAAACAACTGACAGTTTCTCAGTACTATCATTTGCTAAAAGGAAGAATATTTGAACACAATAATATAAGCAGTAATATGTAAAAACAAGGACCATGTTTGAAACCAAGTAGCTTATTTCTTTATGCAAAGCTCAGGATACCCTCCTTCTCTTTTCCCATTTCTTTTTTTCCTTTTTAAAATAATGTCATTGTATTTTTTATAACTTTATTTATTTTTTGTGTAGTGCTAAGGATGGAATCCAGGTGCCTCACACAGGGTAGGCAAGTGCTCTACCACTGAGCCACAACCACATTCCCCTCTTTTCCCATTTCACCATACATGAGTGAGCATTGTCACGGCAGTTAGGAACGGACGGGCATTTGGGGACCACTATCCTAGACTTGCCCGTTCTGGATAGTGCCACGATGACAAGATGGTGCTTGCCGAGGCCTCATAGTTCCTTCTGACCCCTTTCTTTCATAGAGAAGGTCGTGGAGGCCCTGACTGCGGCCATCTTGGACCTTGTGGAGCTGTACTGCAATACCTTCAATGCAGACTTCCAGACCGCAGTGCCTGGGAGCCGCAAGCATGATCTAGTCCAGGAGGCCTGCCATTTCTCTGGGGCCCTAGCCTTCACTGTCTATGCCACCCACCGTATCCCCATCACCTGGGCTACCAGGTGAGTTGATGCTCAGTAACCTCTAGAGAGCCACCTCAGCTTAACTTCCTGTTGGCTTCTCCCCTTCTGTCTACCTACGAGTGACCTCACATGACACCTCCGTGCTAGGATGTGTGGCATTATGGTACAACAGGGCTGAGGGGGTGAGCCAAGTGCCCGAGGGGAATCCAGGCTGGGACACTGCTGAGAGTGAAGGTCCTCCCGGAGATGGAGAAGCACCTGCCATTCCTTCTCAGCGCTGTCTGCCTCAGCATCCCTGCCCCCTCCAGATCCAAGGCCGGCTGAGGGAGACATGCGACAGATGGCCAGTTCCCAGATAGAGTGCGTGCCCCAGGCCAATGACTGCACTCCCCTGCAGACAGCACAATGGGAGGGGCGGGGAGGTGGGGGATAACCCTTTGTCTGGGGTTCCTTAGGCCTGCAGGGGTGGGTGGGTGGAGGAGACCGTTCATTTGGTAATCCTTAGCTCCTCCACTGGGTCCCCAGCATCCGAGGCCTGGGGGAATAGGCATTTGGTCCCACCCCACTCTTACCGGGCCCCTTCCCCCTCTCTTCCCTTCCCCTTCTCTCTTTGTTCCTCACTTAATGTATTCCTCTGGGCGATTGGCAGAGAACAAAGGAGGCAGCCTGGGAAACCGGGGCCTTCTCTGACCTCTTCTGTCAGGCACCTGTCATGAGCCACAGGGACCCCCATGTGTTGGCATTCATGGCCGCATATGTCGTTTTCCTCCCCCACCCGCTTTCTTGTGCGCATATGTATGCACACGCGTGCACGCACCCACACAAACATACACATGCATATGTGTTCGGGCACACCCCGGACTGAAGCTGACCTTGAAGAGTGCGCTGGATGGCCATTCCCGTTATAGGAAGAAAAATCTCAATGCTCAGCCGGGAGTCTGCTATCAGCAGAGGGATTCAGACTTCTCTTTGAGCATGCTTCCTCCAATAATGCTTGGTTGGCCTGACCTTGACCCATGTTTCAGTTTCCAGAAACAGAGCACTTCTACTGGGGGGAAGTGGGGTTTGGCAGGAAGGGGATGCAAAGGTTTGGGTGACTGAGACGGGTTTTGGGGGTTGACTTCCTTCTGTCTTTCGTAGCTATGAAGATTTCTACCTCTCCTGCTCCCTCAGCCATGGCGGCAAGGAGCTGTGCAGCCCGCTGCAGACCCGAAGAGCCCACTTCTCCAAGTATCTCTTCCACCTAATCATCTGGGACCAGCAGTAAGCGTTCCCCCATCCCCCCACCCCGGCTCCTGTGGATCTGCTCATCCCTGGGAATGTTCCTGGGCAAATGAACAGACGCAGACTGGGGGCGAATGCCTGGGTTAAACCAGGCTCCCTCGCTACCCTAACCAGACAAGTCACTCATCAACCCTGAAGTCTCCATTTCATTAACTCTTCAATGGGGACATGTAAAATTTCTACCTCTCAAGTTGTTAGGAAGATCCAATGAATCGTGTCCATAAAAGCTCTTTGCAATCTATAAAGGGCCATGTAACTGTTAGTTGTTAATTTAAATAATATCTCGTTGCTTTGATCTTGTCTCTCTTAAAGAATTTAACTAGTCTGGGGGACTCTCATCCTCTCCCTTCTTCCCAGAGTTCCCTTAGAATAGGCAAATGGTGGCTGGGGGTGGTGGTACACACCTGTAATCCCAGGTCCTTGGGAGGCTGAGACAAAAGGGTCACAAGTGAGCCGGGTACGGTGGTGCACTCCTGAATCCCAGAGGCTTGGGAAGCTGAGGCAGGAGGATCACGAGTTCAAAGCCAGCCTCAGCAATTTAGTGAGGCACTAAGCAACTCAGTGAGACCCCGTCTCTAAATAAAATTCAAAATAGGACTGGGGATGTGGCTCGGTGGTCGAGTGCCCCTGAGTTCAATCCCTGGCACCAAAATAAATAAATAAGAATAAAAAGAGCTGGGAATGTGGCTCAGGGGTAGAGTGCCCCAGGTTCAATCCTTAGTACTGGGAGGTGGGGATGGGCCAAAAACAAAGAAAAGGCCAAGGATCTTGAGCTTTGTCCCCCACAGATAGAGAAGGGAGATTTTCTGGAGAAATGAGATGGAGCCATGGAATAAGGCTCTGGTTCTAGTTCTGACTCTAATCCTACATTTTCTCCAGCTCATCTGTGCCTCAGTTTCTCAAAATGAGAAATGGGGACATTTGCTTAATTCGGAGGCAGTTGCAGCACTGAAGTAAGGTAGGCAGGTTGTAAATATGAAATCACAAATACAAGATAGTATTGATGGGGGCTGGGATTGTGGCCGAGTGGAAGAGCCCTTGTCTACCATGTGTGAGGCCCTGGGTTCAATCCTCAGCACCACATAAAAATAAATAAATAAATAAATGTCCAACTACAACTAAAAAATTTTTTTTAAAAAAGGTAATATTGATTACCATTTAATAATAATGGCAATTTGATGTCAGGAAGGTGGGGTTCAGCCAAGCAAAGCAGGAAGAAAATGGAGGTGAGGTGGCCTTGAATTGAGGTGAGGTGGCACGGCAGGTGTGGCCTGCCTGTGCCTTGTCTGTGCTGTCTCCAATTCCCCCGCCTCCAGATGGTCAGACCACCTCTTGTTTGCGGCTCCCAGCTTCCCTTCCCCAGACTGACTGTCAGGGTCCTCATTTGCAGATGCTACTCAGGTATTTGGAGTGCAGATTAAAGAGACCAAGGAGGGTCTTTGGAGAGGCCAAAGACAACCAAATTGGTAGACAGAGTCTGCAAATGCTGGGAGGGTTGGAATCTGACATTTTACAGATGGACAACTGGGCAAACCTTCACACTTAAGTAATTCTTTTTTTATTATTTTTTTAGTTGTAGATGGACATAATGCGATATTTTATTTATTTATTTTTATGTGGGGCTAAGGCTCGAACCCCAGGGCTTCACACATGCTAGGTGTGTGTAAGGCACGTGGTCTTCCACTGAGCTCCAACCCCAGCCTCACACTTAAGTAATTCTTAGAGCAATAACTGCAGTTGCTGGTAAATCCGACAACTATCAGGGCTGGAGATACTCCTTGGAGACACAGGATCATTCCATTAAATGGCCCTTGAATTTCACTATCCCCTTGGGATTTCTTTGGCCTTAGTTACTGCTGATGTCCAGGAGAGTGGTGCTATTACAGTGTTCTGGCTCAGGAGAACCACAAGAAATTGACTTTAGATACTTTTCTCAGACAGAATCAGAAATACAGAATCCGCCCAGCCTGCCCAGTGGGTCTCATTCTGTTCCAGGTCTGAGATCTCCACCTTGAATCTAAAGGGCCAGTCTCCTGGGGCGCTGCTGGCCCTGTGGAGGGCATGATCTCAGCCCTGCAATCCAGATGCTCCACCTGATACATGTGGGCCCTTCTTAGTCAAGACCATGGCATTCGGGAGAAGGCACCAAACTAGGGGGTTTGGAGCACAAGCTTGGCCTACCGTCCTCTCCTTCTTACTATAGATGCCATCCTGGGCAGCCATTCACTCTAGGATGGGGACAATTATAGGGCCTCCCCTACAGGGTTGTTGGAGGAGCAGTTAGGAGGAAACTGTAAGTAAAATACCTGGCTCAGCGCCCAGTGCATAGCAAATGCTTTCTTCTTCATTGTGGTCTTCTTAGCTGGGGGGCCCTCTCAGTTCCAGTTTCTCTGTTCCAGGTGACTGATAAAGTGATTGACACATGGAAGTATTTGTGCATGGAAACAGTATCTGTGTAGCCTAGTTTCAGAGCAGTGACCACAGCGTCACATAGCAAGAAGTACAGAGTATGTGCTCATGTCACACTACTGAAGCTGTTTCTCCTCTTCCCTGAAGAGGACACTGTGGGGCCAGAGGTATAAATTAAGTGGGCTCAGACTGTGAGTGGCCAGTCCAGGACTCGACCTGCCAGCACATTCTGGGAGTCCCCCCTGGAGGAGGCAGTCCTGAAGATGTGATGTTGAGGAATGGTGGCAGGCAGGAAGTTCAGGTCTTCAGCAACTTGGTGGTTTTCCTGAGCCACCCTGGGCGAATGTCCTGGGGACAGGCATACCAGATACATTCAGGGCCTGAGGAACTGGGTGCCTTTGTTGCATCTAGTGCTATGGTCTCAGCAAGAAAGTCTCTTCATTCTCCTTTTCCTTAAGACACTGCTGGAAGCTCCTCCCTTCCTGGGCGGCAAGAAAGGGCTGGGGACCAGCTCCCTCTCCTTGGGCATCAGGGTCAGCTGGTTCTGTCTCCCGTTGCCGCAGTACAGGGATCAGCTAACTCTCAAAATAGGCCCATGCTCTGTCGCTTCTAGCCAAACCCTGGCTGGCATGTTCTCTGGCTGCTGGAGGGGCCCTAATTATAGCTGTGGGGCCCCCAGGGTAGCAGCAGCTGGGACGCAGCGGGCTGTGCCAGTCTGTGGCGACAGGCAGGAGCAGTACCTCACCTAGGTAGAGAGTCCCCTGGAGGAGACTGGCAAGGGACTGTGGGTGCAGGGGAGCTGTTTTATCTGAAACTGCTGACCTTGGGGGTGGCCTCCTGCCTCTGTGCCCTCTGGGTGTGAAAGTTGCTGGGCCTGGGCAGCAGGAGGGTGTGGCAGTGTGGACTTTGGTCCAGGGATAACTTCCGGGAAAGGTATGGCGGGTCCTCCCTCTTTCCACAGCTCCCCCAGCTGCAGCTCTTCATCCTGAGCGCAGGGAGTGGCGGGTGTGATCCAGGCAGAGCTGCCCAGGAGGGGACATCTGGGCGCGTGGAGCCAGCGGCCTGCCTCTCTCAGTCCTTTCCTTTTGTCCCTGCCAGTTGGCTTTCTGACCATTTGGGGACTTCAAGAAGCCCCTTCGCTTTGTCCCTTTAGCTTTGAGTTTGTTGGGGGTGAGAAAAAACCACCATGTGTCCCTGGAGCTAGGAGAAGGGACACCAATGAGGGGGAGGGCTGTGGGGGAGGGTGAACTGAGGGCAGAGAACATGGTGCTTCTTCCTGGTGTCTCTTATCGGGGTTGGCGGCGGGGGGGGGGGGGGGACTGTCAAATGGAAAGAGAGGACACAGGAGCAGCTCTGCTGACCCTCCACACCAGTCCTGCCCTCGAGGGAAGGAGGCTGGATTCTGAGGTGGCTCCAGCTGAGTCCTGTCAGGTACCAGGCGTAGTCTTGAAATCAGGGAAGTTCCTGTTGCTGGCTGTGTCTACTGGCCCCAGAGACACTGTGTGCTTCCAGGAGCTTCTAGTAGAGGTTTTGCATAGTTTCGGACCATCCTGGTTCATCAAGAAGGTTCCCCTCGCAACATCCAGGAACACACCTCTGACACCCTAAGAGGGAGGCAGAATTCTCTGCTTCTACTTGACTTCCCAGGCTGCCTGTCCCTTGAAGCCTCCTGATTTGGTCTCCTGTCCTCCCTAGGATCTGCTTCCCAGTGCAGGTGAACCGGCTGCCTCGGGAGACCCTACTGTGTGCCACTCTCTATGCTCTGCCCATCCCCCCACCTGGGAGCTCCTCGGAGGCCAATAAGCAGCGACGGGTACCTGAGGCGCTGGGCTGGGTCACTACCCCACTCTTCAATTTCAGGCAGTATGTGAACCCCAGGGTAGCAGCTTCTTGGTTTGGGAGGGAGAAGTGGGAGGGAGACAGGGGGCTGAGTGCTGGACTAGCCAGCGTCCCTCAAGAGAGTTAGCTACGTGGAGCACAGTGGTGAAGTTTGGAGTCCCTTTGGTCCCATCCTGGATGAAGGGCCAAAAGACAGAAATAGTGACCAGGACTGCTGATGTGACCAAGAGGCACTAGACAGGACTGGTGGCACAGACTGGCAGGTAGTGGGGAAGGGAGCATGGGAAAACAATGCTTCAGTAACATGTCACCTGGTCTGGTCACTAGAAGGACCTCAGAGGTCATCTAGCCCAGCCTCTCTACCTTACGAAGGTATCTCTACCACCAGGTCACTCAGGCCAGGGAGCAGTCAGCTCAGGGGGCCTCCTGGAGGGGCAAGCTTGGAGGAAGGAAGAGGCCTCAGTCTATGGAGTACAAGTGAGGAAGGGTGGTGGCTTCCAATAGTGAAGACAGATTTTTGAATTGGGGAGCAGGAGGGAAGCCGTCCACTTAGCCTATGGGTTTGTTGGCTCATCTCACCCTCCTTCCTTCCCGCCTAGAGTCCTGACCTGTGGCCGGAAGCTTCTGGGCTTGTGGCCAGCAACACAGGAAAACCCCAGTGCCCGCTGGAGTGCACCTAATTTCCACCAGCCAGACAGTGTCATCCTCCAGGTGAGACCCCAGTCCTTCTCTCCCCACATCGGACACCCTCAGAGTCAGATCCAAGTTTTCCCCCTTGAAGTTTGGTTTGGGACAGTAGAAAGTGCTAGAACTTGGCACAGGGTGATGGCATAACGGAAGCCACTGGGTGAATGTGGTTAGAGGCTGAGCGCTGTGGTTGCTGCCTCCCATCTCCTGGAGGTCAACTTTGATTTCAGGGAGCCTGAAGGTGGAGTCTGAGACCTTCCCCATCCAGGGCTCTGCTTATCAGAGTCCCTGTGTTGAACTCTCGTGCTTCTAAATGTCATCAAATCAGAGCTTCGCCTCTTGGGGCCTGAGGGGAAGCCTGACCCTCCTGCTCACTCAGTGCATTTGCAGGGTGGACCTCTTCTGGTGAGGGGAGCTTGTTAGATCCTAGGTCCAGTTAGTTACTAGTTCCCAGCTCCCCTTTGTTGTGACCGTGAGATGCTTTGGTATGGAATAGGGAAAAATCACAGTTGACAGAGAATGGAATAGAATGATACAGAGTGGATGTTCCAGGTGTTTTGATCTCTGTCATTGCTGTGCACCCGAGGCTTAGAATAATGCACCAAATCAGGGCTCAGTAAACATTTGTCAAGTGGAGGAAAGTAGAACCCTTTTGGAGAACTGGCTCAGTGAGCTCTGATAACCACTTCAGGAGGACACCTGGGGCACAGAGCACGAGGACCTAGTGTTGCAGGGCCTAGAATTGGTAGGACTCCCACTCAGCATGTGGTCTCCGCTGCCAGCCGGCCCCAGGTCCTGAGGGCCTCAGGAGCACCCTCAGGACTCCACAGCCTCTGCTAGTATGCTCTCAGTGGCACCTGTTCAAAATTCTGGGGCTCGACACCTCACCCAGGAACCTCTCCACCCAACTTCTTCCTCCCTTGCTCACTTTCCCTCCCTCTGTTTCCTTTGTGTTTTGTTGAAAGTTATCACTCTAAGGGACTTGGTGATCACCAAGTCCAACTGGGTTATTTTACAAAGACAGGGAAGGATGGAGCAAGGAGGCAACGCTGGACTGTGAGAGGGAGGGTGGGGACCCAAGGAGGTGGCTGCCTCCCCTGTCTTCACTTTTCTGGGCTTATCCTCCAGATTGACTTCCCCACCTCAGCCTTTGACATCAAATTCACCAGCCCCACTGGAGACAAGTTCAGCCCCCGCTATGAGTTTGGCAGTCTCCGAGAAGAAGACCAACGCAGGCTTAAGGACATCATGCAGAAGGAGTCCCTGCACTGGTGAGGGCCAGGACACCCCCATATGTGGCTCAGGCTTCCCTAAGTCTCTCATGTTTTATCTGACCCTCTCTTACCCCTCAGCACTTGGTCCCTGTCCTGCTCTGGGAGTGGAGGTGGGACAGGATAGGCGTTGCCACCGAGACAGAAAGTGGCAGCCTCCAGACCTTCCTCTTGAGCTGACACTTGGAAAAGGGGAGAGGTTAGGAAATGAGGTCTGAGAATGCCCACGCCCACACTGGGGTGTGGCCAGGCCATAGCTGCCAAGAAGACCAGAGCTTTGCACCCCCCCACCTCATAAACTGCCAAATGGTCTAAGGGGCTGCTGGTCTCACCTCCCTGCCTCTCTCCTGCCCCTTCCACACCAAGAGCCTTTGCAATTTTCTGGCCCTGTCACTTTCTAAAAGGGATCAGGTGTCAAGGCAAGCTGGTAGCTCTCAGGGTAAATGAGTCCAGGCTGATCTCATTCTTGGGGCTGTGCATTCACCAGGATGGAGGAAGGAGGGGTCACACTGGAGGAGCTGGTGGGGCCAGGCTCCTCCCCTACCTGCTCCCCACCTACCTCTCTGGCTCCTGCATAGCCCTGTGCACCTGCTGGGCCAGGGAATGAGAGAGGTGGGCTTGTTTCTTTTTTCTCTCGCTCATGTCCACCCAGGGTGCCAAAGTAGCTGAGTGATGTAGACCTCTTCTGCTCCCATCCCTCTGTTGACCCCTCACTTCATTAACCCCTCAGCTCCCTTCTCCATTAGACACCTGATCTCAGGCAAGACCCAATTAGTTGCAAGGCCTGTAAATCAGACAGCTGGCCCCGGAGGCCCCAGGAGGCCTCAGCTGCCCAGACCCTGACGCATGGGGTCCACTGCCCTCTGGTGGCTCTGCTTGGGAATGGTGCCCTCACCACATCTCCAGGAGGGGAAGCAGGTTTGGTATCCTTGGCCCATTCTTTGGGTCTACACCTGAGATGACCCCGAGTCAGCATCAAAGGTGAGATTTGGACCCTGCTTACCAAACTTTGCTTCTCTTTGGAATCACCTGGTCATCTTTTTAAAAAAATCTGGTATCTGGCTTGCTCAGACATTTTGACTTCATTGGCTTTGGGTATGACCTGGGCACAGAAAAGTCACCAAGCGCCTCAGGTGACTATATTGTGCAGCAAAGTTGGGAAATCCCAGAATGTCAGTGTGTAGAAGTTCCTCACCTTCTGGCTGACTCTGCCCCCTTCCCTCCTTTTCCCTCCCCAACCTCCCCCCAACTCAGGCTCACTGATGCTGACAAGAAACGCCTGTGGGAGAAGCGATATTACTGCCACTTGGAGGTGAGCTCGCTGCCCCTGGTGCTCGCCAGTGCCCCCAGCTGGGAGTGGGCTTGCCTGCCCGACATCTATGCGCTCCTGAAACAGTGGACCCACATGAACCACCAGGATGCCCTGGGGCTCCTGCATGCCACGTGAGTTGAAGCACCCCCATCCTGACCCCAGGCAGATCTGGCCAGCCCTGGGGAGATGGTGAAATACCCGTAGATAGTCAGGGCTTTTGTGTTTCTCCTTAACAAAATTGAAAATTGCACTGTGAATTTCCATATGCCTACCACTTGGATTCTTTGATTGGCATTTGCTTTGTGTGCTTTATGGTATATCTGTCCATCCTTCTATCTGTCAGTCCATCCTATTTTTTAATGCATTTTGAAGCAAATTTCAGACATCAGTAAATTTCCTTCTAAATACTTTAGCACAACTAGAGCTCAGTGTTCTGTTTTTTTCTACTGAGTCAACATTTACATATAAGGCAATGCTTGAACTTTACCTGTACATTGGCAGAGTTTTGGAAAATGCATAGGCCCTGAGGCTCAACCTGTGTGGCTTACTTCTATGTCAATAGTCTTCCTTCTTTCCCTTTCCCTAGAGTTCTCTAGGGACAAAAGGATCCAAGTCTCAGAACCCTGGACTATCTTTTCTAGATGGTACCTAGGATTCTCAGTTTAATTCTTGCTATTCTCAGTGATCAAAAGGAACCTGTTCTCTGACCTGTCTTTAGGACTGTCTGAGGCAATGGTTTTGTTAATCTCTTTTAAATGAATTCCACACAATACCAAGTATTAGCTTACATAAAATTCTGCAGCTCTGTTATTTGCCTGGCAAGCTTTGCATTAAAGGATATTATCAAGACAAATAATGCCTTAACCCACATGAGGGCTCTTCTGTGATGGGAATTTGTGGAAGAGATCTTTGGGAGTAGGGTGGAGGGCTTTGTCCCATTTTATTTAAATCACCTAAAGAATGAGCATGGCCACTCTCCTGCCCCTCCATGGCCCGCAGTAGACTCTGATCATGGGGAGTGTCATTCCCAAAAGTTGCTTTCCAGAGAAGGTGCTAGTTGTTCCAGTGGCTTTGACAGATCCCGGGAGACATTGCATTTGGTGTGAAGGACCCCTGAGGCTGGGTCCTCAAGGTACTGGGCTCTGTTTTGCAGCTTCCCGGATCAGGAGGTGCGCCGGATGGCCGTCCAGTGGATTGGCTCACTCTCAGATGCTGAGCTGCTTGACTATCTGCCACAGCTGGTGCAGGTACGGGTGGGCTGACCTTCCCTCTGGTTCTGATAGTCTGGTCCCCAAGACCCCAAGTCAGTCTGCAGACTGTCCCTGAGAACCCAGGGTCTCCAGATTTCAGGCAGTTAATAAAGCCTTGCTTTGTTTTCTCTTGAGCAGGCCCTGAAGTATGAGTGCTACCTGGACAGCCCTCTGGTGCGCTTCCTCCTGAAACGAGCTGTCTCTGACCTGAGAGTGACTCACTACTTCTTCTGGTAAAAGCGAGTGCAGAAAGGTGGGAGGTAGACATGCTTTTCATACAAGAGTATTTTACCCCTAGGCATGTAGGTGTGGGGAGCTGAGTGATCTGGGTTCCAGGACATGGCTGAGCTGCCATGTGGCCTTGGACTAGCATCTTTCCTCAGGGAGATCTCAGTTCACCCCTGTGTAACTCCCACCCACAGCAGAGAGCTTCAGCGGGGCTTTGAGCTCTACTCAGGCAGGGTGGCTGGGTGAGCAGAGCATTCAGAGTATATTTTCTCTCCTGGCCATGGGGTGGATCTTCTGGGGAGCTGGAGCAGGGTGTGACCTGTCCTCCCCTACCTGCTGCCTGTGATCCCTTGAGCAGCCCGACCACCCCACTCCCTTCCTTGCAGGTTGCTGAAGGACGGCCTCAAGGACTCTCAGTTCAGCATCCGATACCAGTATCTGCTGGCAGCGCTGTTGTGCTGCTGTGGCAAGGGACTGAGGGAGGAGTTTAACCGTCAGTGCTGGCTTGTCAACGCCCTGGCCAAGCTGGCCCAGCAGGTCCGGGAGGCCGCCCCATCTGCTAGGCAGGTGAGTGGGCAGGGCTGCCTCTACCTGTCTCCATTTCTAGTCTGGAGCTGCTGTGGCCAGTAGTTTACCTCTAAGCCTTCTGAGCAGCAGGATGGCACTTGACCATCTCTGATTTAGAAGCTAGAAGGAGGTGACCGTGTCTATAACCCACAGGCCGCAAACAGATAGTCTACAACCTGGATACAGTCTGCCAGTACGATTTTCTTTTTTCCTTGCAAAATATTGAAATTTTTATTTAGCCATTTGCCTCCGAGGCTAAGCACAGTATGTAAGATGCTCTCTGCACAAAGCAGCCAAAGGGGCAAGTGAGGGCTGAAATCCAGTCATATTTTGTTCACTGTGCTGTGAGCCATGCTCAGGGCTGGAAAGGGTGCCAGAGGCTCATTCATCTGTCTACATGAGGCACCATATTAGGCCAGCAGCAGCATTCCTGGTGGCTGACATCTAAAAATTGAGAGATGTTTATATTAATGTCTACATTGTTAGCTTCCCTTGGTAAAGCCTGGGCAGCACTTTCCCTTGGTGATTTCACCTGCTCTCTCAGTTTTGTGGCCTGCTCCCCACTGTCTCTCTGTCTGCCTTGCCTGGGTAGGTATTTGGACTTGCTGCTCACGTACTGAGCCAAGTCAGAATATAGTGGGGGTGGTTTTGCTTCCCATGGGTCTCCTGGATGTTATCCATACTTCTCAGGAGTACCACTAGGCACCTACCCTGGTAGAGGCCTGGTTCTGTGTGGAGCCTGTGGGCCCCTCACTTCACCCCAACTCTCCCCCGCTCCCTGCCAGGGAATCCTCCGCACCGGCCTGGAGGAGGTGAAGCAGTTCTTTGCCCTCAATGGCTCATGCCGCCTGCCACTCAGCCCCAGTCTGCTGGTGAAGGGAATCGTGCCCAGAGTGAGTGACTGGTGGTGGGTTTGGGGCTCTCAGAGTGGGGAGGGCTCAGTGAAGATGAGGTCCTTGCTGACCTGGTTCTTGAGAGAGAGAGAGGAGGGAAAGTGTATTAGTGGCCTCTTCAATTCTTAACCCTAATGTGTGTGGACCTGGCAACTGTGCTGGGTGAGCCTGGGTCAGTGTCTCTCCCCAAGGGTGTTGGGGATGACGTTGGGGAAGGTGATGATGGTGGTAGCTATTGGCTGTCATTTCCCGACACCCGTTGCCTGGCGCTGTTCTGCATTTCATCCTTAAGACTCTCGAGAAGTCGTCCTGTTGTGATCCTCGTTTGACAGAGGAGTAAACTGAGGTTGATGAGATGTGGGACTCACGCGAAGTCAGGAAACTAAAAGGAGTGACTGGAAGGAGAGAGATGAGGCGCTGGAGGGGAGGTCCTAACAAGCCGAAGACACAAGGGCAGTGAGGAGAGGGCATGAGCAGGTCTTGGGGGGCACTGACAGCAGGAGGGTGGGCAGCATCTTGATCCAATGGGAGAGGTCATCTTCCTTCCTGGGCATGGATCACCTGAGCCTGGTCACTGCCCTCTCTACCATGCAGGACTGTTCCTACTTCAACTCCAATGCAGTCCCCCTCAAGCTTGCCTTCCAGAATGTGGATCCACTGGGAGAGAACATCCGGGTCATCTTCAAGGTGAGGCTACTTCACTCAGGCCTGGTGGGGTGAGGTGAGAGAGAAGGAGGGAGCCCAGTGGTGACAGGAGTGACCCCAGGATGGTCACTGTTCTTCCCTCTGTTCCTCAGTTCCATGTTGTGTGTGTGTGTGTGTGTTGCTGGGGATGGACCCCAGGCCTCGAGCATGCTAGGCAAAGTGCTCTACCACTGAACCACATCCCCACCCACCATGCTGCCTTTTTAATATAGGAAAGACTATCAGCTCTAAAAGGATTTAGATGTATTCAGCATAACCCAGAGGGGCTAAGAATAAAATGTTAGGTGTTGTAGAGGCAAATGACAGCTCACTTTATAGAGGACTTTCTAGGAAGCTCAGCTGCCCTGACAATGGAATGGGTCAGGTGATGATCTGCTTGTCCCTGGGGGTATTCCAGCAGAGAATGAATGACCATGTGGCAAGGATATTAAAGAAGAAATTCATAGCCAGGCATGGTGGTACACACCCATAATCCCAGTGACTTGGGAAGCTGAGGCAAGAGAATTGGAAGTTCAAGGCCAGCCTCAGCAACTTAGCGAGACCCTGTCTTGAAATAAAAAATGAAAAGGGCTGGGGATGTAGCTCAGTGGTAAAGTACCCCTGGGTTCCCCTCGTAACAAAAGAAGAAATAACATACCTGGCGCAGATCAGACTAGACAAACTCTATGTTTCCTTCTAAATGGTACCTGTGAGATTCTGAGAAGTAAATAATGATCTCAGAGTGTATAGGCTAGTAGACTTCCTAGCAAAACATGGGATTGGGGCTGAGGAAATTGCTCTGTGGTAGAACAAATGCTCAGCATGTGCAAGGCCCTAGATTAGTCCCTAGCACCACACGCACACACAAAAAAATGTGCATGTATTTTTGTAGATTATAGTACCTATTTATTTTGTATATGTTCCAAATCTGGGATAAGCTTTCAAGTTTTACAAAGCCCTGATGATCAGGAGGGGTGCTTGTGGAAGAGGAACCTGAATTCAATTCAGGTGGGGGTACTATTTGGATAAACTGTGACAGCTACTGGCCCTCTCCGCTTCTCTGACCTAGTGTGAGCTGAGTGGGCAGGTCAGAGGTGCAGGCTGGGAGAAGTGGACAATTTCTCTCTGTCACTGTAGTTTGGGCTCCTGGGAGATCTGGAAGCTGGAGGCCAGGGGTTGGGGACACATGGCAGAGATGGGTTTGGGTCATTTTCTTCCTCTCTCCAGTGTGGGGATGACCTTCGCCAGGACATGCTCACCCTGCAGATGATTCGCATCATGAGCAAGATCTGGGTCCAGGAGGGGCTGGACATGCGCATGGTCATCTTCCGTTGCTTCTCCACTGGCCGAGGGAGAGGTGAGCTGGGAGGGCAGGTGAAGGGAGGCAGACGGTGTGGAGGGGACCCCTTTTCTTCTGCTCGCTCCCCAACATGTACTTCTCCAGGAAAATGAAAAGGTCAAGGTTATCTCAGTAAAAGCTGTGGAGTGGCATGGAAACAGAAGGCAAGGGAGAGAGACTTTATAAAATAAAATAGACTTGGGGACATAACAACTTAATGTGTCATGTAGACTTTGGATCCTGATTCAAACAAACCAACTATAAAGGCTTTTTTTTTTTTTTTTGAAAATTTGAGTTCAGACTGGTTTAAATTAGATTAAAAAATAATCATTCATTTTTTGGATGTGACAATAGCATGGTGATGGTGTCCTTGTTAATTATACTTGAAATCTTTGTGAGTGAAATGATATGCCTGGGTCTTGCTTTTTAAAGTACCCCAGCCAAGGTGGTGGGAAGTGGGGAAACTAGTTGCGTAGGTGAAATAGACAAACAAGATTAGCAAAACGTCTATATAAGTTTTGAAGCTGGGTGATGATTACCTATGAATTGCTGAAACCACTCTCTTTATTCTTATATCTTATAAATTTGAAGATTTCCATAGTAAAAGGTGCAGCAGCCATGAACTGAGAAGACCAAGGGCTCATGGTCTGGAGGAGGAGCTTTGGGGTGCAACCTTCCTTTCTTCCATTCCGCTTGCCTCCTAAGCAGACTTTGTCCAAAGGCCTTGGAGGGAGGCACCCAGCACAGCCTCTCCCTACAGTCCCCTTCACTCTGCTCTGAGCGTGATCCCAATCCCTTCTCTCACAGGCATGGTAGAGATGATTCCTAATGCCGAGACTCTACGCAAGATCCAGGTGGAACATGGGGTGACCGGCTCCTTTAAGGACCGGCCCTTGGCAGACTGGCTGCAGAAACACAATCCTGGAGAGGATGAGTATGAGAAGGTAGGATTGGGAGCCTTGTGGTCCAAAGCTGGGGTGGGTGTGCATGATTGGCATGTGGCTCTATTATTGTAAGACCTGCACCCTCTGTATATGCAGGGATAGGTCAGAGTGACTGTTGTGGGCAGACTGAGGAAGTAGCCTGGTATTGTCCTGGGAAACCAGGACATGAGTTCCCCTAGCAGTGAGCTATCTCAGATGAGCCGAGCCATCTTTGGGAGACCTGTTGTGCCTCCTACTCATGCTACTCATGCGTCCTGGGTTGGTTCCTCTTGTGCTCTCAGAGGGCTTCTGTGATACTGGATGAGGATTAGAGTTGGTTGGAAGACAAGTTAGACATCACTTTAATCCAACACCACCTTTTCAGGGATGCAAATTAAGACTCTCTTCTTCCAGTTGTGGAGCTGGTTTGTGCAGGCTGTAACATGAAACCAGGTCTGACATTAGGCAGGAGATCAGAGGCTAGAAAAGAGACTTGCCTAAGTCCTGAGAGATGAAAGATTAGATTAGAAGGGGAACTTTGGGCTGGGCATGCCTGTAATTCCATCTACTCAGGAAGCTGAGACAGGAGAATCCCAAGTTTGAGGCCAGCCTCGGCTACATATTGAGATCCTATCTTAGAATTTTAAAAAGGGTTGGGGATGTGGCACAGTGGCTAAACTGCATCCCTGGGTTCAATCCCTGCTGCTATCAAAATAATAATAATAATAATAATAGTGCCTGAATGCTAATTTATATAAATTTCTTTCTTTTTTTTTAAACATTTATTTTATTTACTTTTATGTGGTACTGAGGATCAAACCCAGGGCCTCCAACAGGCTAGGCCAACGCTGTACTGCATTTCACCTTGAAGGTTCCAAATACTAATTTACACTGATCAGTGTGTTTTAGACCCACGTGGGCAGCCAAATTATAACCAGACTGTTGTTTACTGGATGTGTAATTAGATGATCTTAAATGGCCCTGAGTGTTTGCATCCCCAGGGTTTAATCCTTGCCTTGCTAGCTCTCTTTGCTGGCTCCTTATGCCAGCTCATCCTCTCTTCTCCTCCCACCCATGTGCTGATGACTTCCAAAGCCCTTCCCTAACCCTCTTCCCTCCTCCCGCTTTATACTCTGTAGGAACCGGCTTATTGTACTTTTCCATTCTCACACACCTCAAAGCAGTGGAAGCAAAATCGAACTTTCTTCCTCTCTTTCACCTCCTGAAGCCTGCTTTTTTTGTGTGGGTTTCTCATCAGTGAACAGTAGGACTCTGTGCAAATCACCCAAGCCAGAGCCGTGGAGTTCCAGAAATTTCCGTTTGCCTCCCTCCTGCAGGACCCAGCCCTGCTGATTCTGCCTTCACTTCTCTCACCAGCGTGTCCCCTTCTTTCTATTTCCTTACTATCACTTTTGTCCAGCAATTTGCTATCTGTCCCCGGAACCTCTAAAATGCCTCTCCTCCTTCTGTCACCATCCTCTGCTTGATTCCTGAGGGGTTCTGAAGTGCAAGCCTGTTCACCCCACTCCTTTGCTCTAAGTTCTTCAAAGTGCTGCTTGGCATATCCAACCTGCCCAGCCCTGCACACAAAGCTCTTTGTGTTCCGGCCCTCCCTACTCTGCAGCCTCATCCTCCTCCTCCCTCCTCCAAGCCCACATGCTATTTATGTTAACATGTATTTTCAGGTGTTGAACACCCACCACAAAGTGGCACCGTGCAAGGTGCTAGAATTGTAATGACTCCATGCTAGTGTACTAAAGAGTCACGATAAATGTGACGGAAGTGTGTGCAACAGGTGTACACTCACACAGAACTAACTTTGCATATTAATGTTTAATCTCAGCCTTTCAAAGGGAGCCTTTTTGGTAGGACAATGCTGGTAGTTTCTGATGGTAACTTCCAGAAGAAAAGAACTAGAGATGGTTTTTCTCTTGACTATGTATTCAGCCAGGTAGCACCCCATATCCTACAAGATAATCTCTTGAAAGCAGGAGGGTGCCCATTTCTAGAGTGAGATTTTTTTTTTTTTTTGCCAGGGACCCACTATGCACTGCCTAACTCGGGGAGTCAAGTTTAATCATTAACCCCCGGGCACACAGCTCTTTTGTGAGCCAACATAGGACTCATTTAAGATAAAAAGGACACCTGTGCCAGGTGTGGTGGTGCACGCCTGTAATCCCAGTGGCTTAGGAGGCTGAGGCAGGAGGATTGCAAGTTCAAAGCCAGCCTCAGTGAAAGCGAGGCCTTAAGCAACTCAGTGAGACCCTGTCTCTAAATAAAATACAGAATAGGGCTGGGGATGTGGTTCAGTGGTCAAGTGCCCCTGAGTTCAATCCTCAGTACCCCTGCCCCCCCCCCAAAAAAAAAAAACCGACTATGACAGGAGAGGATTGATGGAGATGAAGGTCAAGATTGGGAGAGGATGGATTATGCTCCTTCTTGGATGGTTTATTTTCATTCATAGATTTCCCTTTTTAGAAATGGTCTTTTTCTTCCAGAAGATGAGTTCTGTGATGTCTTTACAAACTTCTATTCTTAGTTTCCAGTGGATTAGTCATCTGGTTGTGATTGGACAAGTATCTGGAAAGGGGTGGGTTGAGTAGCTGGCTGAAGAGTGGGTCTTGTGGAACAGCCTAGAAGCTGTTGGGAAATCAGATCCCTAAACTTGGGAAGAGGTTAGATAGGCAATCAGTGAATGGTGGTGGCCGTGAGTCTGGAGGGGCTCAAAGTGGGTGGAAAGATGTGGGTCCTTGAAGGACAGAGGGAGGCAGGGAGGGCAGGTCTGCTGGGTCTGGCAAGCTCTCTCTTGTTCCCAGTTCCTTACAGTCCTAGTTGGTTGTGACAGTTTTTTCTCACATTCTCAGTTTGGTCCCTTCCTAGCTGGCTATCGTGTTCTGCATCTTTCGTGAGCTCTTGGGAATTCTTCAAATCTCACAAAAAGGATGCCTTTTATTTTCACTTTCTCAAAAGACAGATAAGGGTCTCAGGTACTAGGGAGACTAAGGCAGGAGGATCCCAAGTTCAAGGCTGGCGTCCACAACTTAGCAAGACTCTGTCTCAAAATAAATTTTTTTTAAAAAAAAATATTTATTTATTTATTTTTTAGTTATCGGCGGGCACAACATCTTTGTTTGTATGTGGTGCTGAGGATCGAACCCGGGCCGCACGCATGCCAGGCGAGCGCGCTACCGCTTGAGCCACATCCCCAGCCCCAGCCCCTAATTTTTTTTTTTTTTAATAAAGGGCTGGGGATGTAGCTCAGTGGTAGTGTGCTTGACTAGCATGTTTGAGGCTCTGGGTTCAATCCCCAGCGTGCGCACACACACACACACACATACACACACACAAAAAAAAAAGATAAGGGGACAAATGTCAACTAGACCCAACCCCTCACTACCAACCCTCCTCCTTTAAATTCAAAAATATCTCCAACACGTTTTGCAAAGTAGAGAGGTCTGATTTTCAAGTGCAAAACACTCCTTAGAAGTGCGAAGCTGCCTCAGCTCTTCCTTGGAATGCAGTGACTTTAATTAGATAGGCGTGGAGCTGTTACCAAGAGTTCTGAGAAGGGGGTTTTATTTGGAGCATGAAGGATGGAAGAAATCTGTACAGGGTCAGGATGGCGCCCATAAGTCTGCTGTCTTGGTAGCCATGCTTGAGTTAGGGTCATTGTGACCCACTGGGAGTGTTGTAAACGTCCCTCTTTCTGTCCATTAAGTTCAGCCCAGTCTGGGCTGCTCATGTCAGGGCTTTTGGACCAGTCACTGTCATTCCAGCCTGTCTCCCAGAAGAAGATGAAGTTCAGACATACAGTCCTTGCATCTCCTCCTCCAGCATCCATGGGAGAGGGTCCTGTGGGTGCACGCGTGCACTGTATGTGTTAACATGCAGTAAAGGTGAACAGGCGGATATGAGGTGCTGCTGGGGTTCATAAGAGACTGAGGCCAGGGCTGCTGAATTTGGTCTGGCTGTGACCCCAGAGTCCCTTGAAGCCAGCTTCATGTCCTCTCCTCTCACCTGCCTTCACTGTTCCAGGCTGTGGAGAACTTCATCTACTCCTGTGCTGGCTGCTGTGTGGCCACATATGTCTTGGGCATCTGTGACCGACATAATGACAACATCATGCTGAAGACCACTGGTCACATGTTCCACATAGATTTTGGCCGCTTCCTGGGCCACGCCCAGATGTTTGGCAACATCAAGCGGTAAGTGGTCTCCGGAAGCCAGATGTCTATGTCATGTATGAAGGGCAGGGAGGTCAGCAGGAATGGTTTAGACTGGACACAAGCCTGTGCATTGTCCCTGGGCTGAGCAGCTTTGGAGAAGAGGAGACTCATAAGGAGATCAGGTCCTGGCAGCGCCTTGCGGAAGAAGGTGGGGAGCTGTTGATCTCTCCCCTTCCTGACGACTGAGCAAAGGGAATGAGCCCAAACTCAGAAAAAAGGAACATAATAAGAAACTGGGAGAAAATATTGCTAGCTCACAGATAAGGAACCAGTGGAGGATGTGGGACATCTATCTTGGGGATCTTTTAAGATTAAGGTAGGGGCAGAGAAAGAAAGAGCCCATCTATCCAGGTTCATACTTGGGATGAGGGAACCCCCCCACACGCAGCCCACCAGGTGGGCTCCCTCCTCCACGTTGACCTTCTGCCTGTATGTTCCCCTTGGCCCAGGGACCGTGCCCCTTTTGTCTTCACCTCGGACATGGCGTATGTCATCAACGGGGGTGACAAGCCTTCCAGCCGCTTCCATGATTTTGTTGACCTTTGCTGCCAAGCCTACAACCTCATTCGCAAGCATACCCACCTCTTCCTCAACCTTCTGGGCCTGGTGAGGAGCTCCCTGCCCCATCTGAAAACCCCCTTCTTGTGACCTGGTGCCAGCTTTAAAGACTGCCCTGGCTTGTTTCAAAGAATTCCTGGAGATCCACTTCTCTGAGCCCCAGTTGAGTTCCTGTGTGCCCTAGATAAGGGCAGGGACTTACCCTACCTAGGGACAATGCTATCTGACCCATTGCGGTCCCTCAGTTCCTGGGGTCCTCAAGCCACTGCCCACAGCATCGGTCTGCCACCATCTAGAAGGATCAGAGAGCCTAGCTATAGAAAATCTTGCCTTAGGGTTGGGAAGAAGCAAGATCTCTCTATTGTTACAGACACCCTCCCTCCTCCTCTCCTAGATGCTGTCCTGTGGGATCCCCGAGCTCTCAGACCTGGAGGACCTCAAGTATGTGTATGATGCCCTGAGGCCTCAGGACACAGAGGCCAATGCTACCACCTACTTCACTAGGTAACTCTGGATCACACCAGTTGCTGCCCACCCTGCGTCACTCCCAGGTTGCCTGATTGGCAGGAGCAGGCTAGAGAAATGGGAAAGGCTTCTTAGCTCAGGTGGCAGAGCCTAGTGTTGGATCTGTTGTCCCAAGTTGGCCTCTAACTTTGGCAAATCACTTCTCTCCAGCTTTGGGTGTCTGTCTGCATTTTGGTGTCAACCTTTGTATTTAGGAATATTGTCACCGCTCTTTCCTGCACTCTCACCAGGTCTCAGCCAAAGACTGCATGGGGCATGGGGGACAGGGATTTTGTAATAGATTTTAGTTCTCTGGGTCAGATCCTTCCCTCTTGATGGGACCTCACTTTTAAGTTGAAATCTCTGGATTTCCTTGGTGAGGTCCCTTTGTACTAAACCTTGAGTTCAGTTTGATGACACTATCTAGACATTTATGAGGTGACCCTTCAGTGCTCTTCTCTTTTTTTTTTTGGAACTGGGGGTCGAACCCAGGGCTTTGCGAATGCAAGGCAGACGCTTTGCCACTGAGCTACATCCCAGCCCCAGTGCTCTTCTCTAACTTCTTCCTGCCTTAGTTTGAATGTCTTTAGCTCAGATCAACTCAGAGGGAAAATAAGACCCCAGGAGTCACATGAATATACATCACGAGGTGGTTGAGTGTCAGTCATGTCCTCCATGAGGATGTTACACAGCAAAAGAGGTTTTATCTGGTGTTAATCTCAGGAGTCAGGAAATATTCCTTTATTAGCTCTGTCATGGCAGAGGGGACTTGGGTCCAAGATTGTGCCTTTTTCTTCCTGTCCTCACGCACCCACAGGTTGATTGAGTCCAGCTTGGGCAGTGTAGCCACAAAGCTCAATTTTTTCATCCATAACCTGGCTCAGATGAAGTTCACGGGCTCAGACGACCGGCTGACCCTTTCCTTTGCCCCCCGAACGCACACTCTAAAGAGCTCTGGCCGCATCAGTGATGTTTTTCTCTGCCGGCATGAGAAGATCTTCCACCCCAACAAGGGCTATGTAAGTACTTCCTCCTCTCTGACCCTGTCCTGCTCCCCACTGACCCAGGCTCCTTGGGATTCTGAATCTTCACACCCATGCAGCAGACACTGGACTTCATTGAGCCTCCTGTGCTGGGAACAGTCCCAGATCACTTCCTTTTTCCTTGCTCAAGTGAATTGCTAGAATCAGAGAGCTGAATTAGATAGTAAAAAAATTCCCTCTGAGTCAAGGGTCCAAAGAAACAGGCACAGGAAATCTTTGCTTTCAGTTCCTGTGTATGTGCTTTGTCTCCATTGGAGACTCTCTTGACCTCTTCCTTCTGCTCCCCAACACGTACACCCTTCAGTTCCCTTACCTACCCACGAGTTCACTGGGGGCAGAGGGTCTGACAGGTAGACTCTACGATTTGAAACTTTGCAGATATACGTGGTAAAGGTGATGCGGGAAAATGCCCACGAAGCCACTTACATCCAGCGGACGTTTGAGGAGTTCCAGGAACTACACAATAAGCTTCGGCTGCTCTTCCCTTCTTCCCTCTTGCCCAGGTAGCTTCCCCTTTACTCCCTGCACAGAGAGAGACTGAGAGGGGAAGGGATGGGATTGGCAGGAATACCCATCTCTCTTCATTACTTGGCCTAGTATTGAGTTTGGTAAAAGTGCTCCCCCTGCTGGAAAAGCTCTCCTGACACGCCAGTGCACTTGCTCTAACCTTGAAAATAAGCTTGGGCCCATCTGCAAAGGCAGGGGGCCTTGTTTGAATCTGAAGATGTTTCAGTTTCCAACCTATTAAAGAGTTAGGTCATTTTTCAGTTGGACAAAGCGTGGTATATACATGCAATGAAATATTATTATTGGACATTAAAAGGGAACGACAGGGGCTGGGGTTGTGGCTCAGTGGTAGAGCACTTGCCTAGCATGTGAGGTACTGGATTCAGTTCTCAGCACTGCATATAACCATTGACAACTAAAAAAATATTTTAAAAAAAGAAGGCGGGGGGTAGGGGGCTGGGATTGTGGCTCAGCAGTAGAGCGTTTGCCTAGCACGGGCGAAACCCGGGTTCGATCCTTAGCACCACATAAAAAATACAGGCATTGTGTTGTGTCCATCTACACCTAAAATAAATAAATAAAAATTTTTTTTTTTTTTTGGTAAGAAAAAGAAGAAGAAGGCGGGGTGGGGGGAGGACATTCCAACAGGTAACTCAACCTGAGTGAACTTTGAGGACATGATGCTAAAGGAAATAAGCCATTCCTAGATTAAAAACTGTGCTTCTGCTCATCTGAGTTACCTAGACTAATCAGATTCACAGGGACATAACATAGAATGGTAGTTGAGGCAGTATTGTTTAATGGGTGGTTTTCAGTTTTGCAAGATGAAAAACTCCTGGAGATGGTGGTGGTACAACATTGTGAATATACTTAATACCATGAACAGTAAAGATTGATAGGTCAATTTTTTTTTAATATTTATTTTTTAGTTTTTTAGGTGGATACAATATCTTTATTTTATTTTTATGTGGTGCTGAGGATCAAGCCCAGTGCCTCACACTTGCTGGTCAAGCACTCTACTACTTGAACCACAACCCCAGCCCTAGATAGGTCAATTTTATGTCATGTATATTTCCCCATAATTAAAAAAATTATTTCAATTCATTTTTCAAATGAATTTTTACACCAAAGAGAGAAACTGGAGGCTCCAAAGCCCCAGGGGCACTTTTGAGGAGCACGGGACTCTGCCCAACAATTTAGTATGGTTTGGGGTCCTTGTGAGTGTGCCGTGTTAAACCTGGGCACAGACCTGGGAGCCAGGGTGGAGTCAAGTGGAGTGAGGATTCCCGGGGAGGGAAGCTGCTGGGAAATAAGATGAAATGGAAAAGGCCTGCTGCCTTATTTTCTTTCCCCATCTTCCCCGCTGCCCACCCTGCCTCACCAGCTTCCCGAGTCGCTTCGTGATTGGCCGGTCCCGTGGAGAGGCGGTGGCAGAGCGAAGGAAGGAAGAGTTAAATGGCTACATCTGGCACTTGATCCATGCAGCCCCTGAGGTGGCCGAGGTGGGTCTGCCTGCCTTCTGCATCCCGGCTGTCACCTCCATGAGGCTAGGTGTGGGAAGGGGGCAGGAGGACTCCATCCTGGAGAGTCACGCAGGAGACTTGGCGCTTCTGGGTCTGCTGGAGTGGCCTGGATCTGAGAGGACAGCATGGGCCCATGAGGGACAGGAAAGGGGGCCCTCCAGCCTCCCAGTGTCACGCACATAAACAAGTAAATAAAAATGTTACTGTAGCTAGCACCGTGGTGCACACTGTAAACGCAGCAGCTCAGGACTGAGGCAGGAGGATCATGAGTTCAAAGCCAGCCTCAGCAAAAGAAGGTGCTAAAGCAACTCAGTGAGCCCTGTCTCTAAATATACAAAATAGGGCTGTGGGTGTGGCTCAGTGGTTGAGTGCCCCTGAGTTCAATTCCTGGCACATCCCCCCCACCAAAAAAAACCAAAAACAAACATTACTACAACTGGGTCCCAGAGAGACAACAGCATTTGAGATCCTGGAGTGACTGCACTGATCAGAACTTGTGAAGGCAGAGAGAGAGGGGTGCCTCTTAAGGAAAAAGAGAATTTTGAGCAGGTTGATTTTATTTATACACACACACACACACACACACACATTTTTTTTAAAACAAATGATATTATAATGGCCCTACTATGGTCACCTGGGAATCCCATTTCTCCAGCAAATCATCTGACTTTGTTTTCTATGTTTTCTTCCTATGTATCTGTATGCAGGCATGATTTTTACAGTTTGATGATGGCCATGGCTTAAATATAAACCTATATTCTTAGACTTTCTTCCCTTAGCATTTGTGGTAAGCATATGCCACAGCTTTAAATATCTGAACCAAATTAGTACACGGATTGGCGGTATCATATCTCAACCTTTTGCCTTTTGAAAGATTAGAGTATTCCATTTTTTTCCCACTATTAATGCTCAAGTGGTCATTTGCACATATTTAAGATTTTTATTTTGTTTTTGCTTCCCCTCATTAGAGAACATTCTCCAGAACAAGATCTGTGCTCTTATCCCAGGCTGACTCAAGCATTTGTGCTGGAGTGATGTGTGTGTTGATCGAGGAAGCAGTGTAGAAAAGAACACTCTGATTTTAACCTGAAGCAACCTAGTTTTCCGTTTTTCTTTCTTTCCCTCTCTCTTTGTCCCCCCACCCCTATACTACTGGGGGTTGCTCTACCACAGAGTCACATTTCCCAACCCTTTTTAATTTTTTTTTTTTTTTTTTAAATTCAAGACCCATTCTCACTGACTTGCTAAAGCTGGCCTTGAATTTGCAATCCTCCTCCTGCCTCAGCCTCCTGAGTAGCTGGGATTACATTGTGCTTGCCTTCTTTTTTCCTTTTCAAGAACATTTTAGTATGAAAGCTTTCAAACATACAGAAAAGTAGAGAAACAATATAGTTAGTGCCTATAGACCCATTCCTAAACAGTATTTTACCATATTTGCTCCATCTATTTTTATGACGTATTTAAAGCAATTTACAGGCATCCTGATACTTAGTGTGCATCTCTAAAAAGTAAAAATATATTCTTACATAACTATAGTGTCATTACATCATCCAATACATAGCCCATGTTCAAAATTTCCCTATCACTCCCCAAACTCTTTTTACATTTTATTTATTAGAGCCATTGCTCAGACAAGAACTGTGTATTGCATTTGGTTGTTAGGTTTCATAGTCTCTTTTAATTTAGAACAGTCTTTCCTTTTTTTTTTTAACTGGGCCTTTATCTTACTAAAGAATGGCCATGTTTTCTGATTCCATTCCAGTGTGATCTGGTGTACACCTTCTTCCACCCCCTACCCCGGGATGAGAAGGCTGCAGGCACCAGCCCAGCCCCTAAGTCCTCAGGTACAGTACCTGCCCTGAGATGCTCCTGCCAACCCCTTGGAACCACAAAGGGTCACTTCTCCTGCCCCCATCTCTTCAGGTTTTTTTTTCCTTTGGCTTGTCCCCGTTCCTCTTCTTACTGGTTAGGAAATCTGTTTTCCCACTCACACTGTGGGTCCACAACTCCTTGGTCGGGTTCCCCAGAGGTTGGATATTCAGTTAGTAAATACACTCTTGGGCTTGGTAGAGTGATCCCACCCTCTAACTCATGTTAGATACCAGTCACACATGTTGATCCCCTTCCTAGTTATGGAAGGACCAGCACAGGGGGTTCAAAAAGAAAGTAGAAATACCTCCCTGGCACCAGTGGGGAACACGGCTGGCCTGTTGACAAAAGTTTCCTTTGTCCCTGCAGATGGCACATGGGCCCGGACTGTCGGGAAGGTGGGGGGGGAGGTGAAGCTGTCCATCTCCTACAAAAACAACAAGCTCTTCATCATGGTGATGCACATTCGAGGCTTGGTAAGTGCACACACAACCCTCATTTGGTTCTTTATCTTTCTTCAGGTATTTTTTTTTAGAGTAGTCAGACCTCCTCTGCCCCCATGTCTGAGAGTAACCACAAAAGTTTACTGAGCTTCCTCCAGGGGCCTGCCCGTGCTAGCCTGTAGCATGACCAGGCAATTCAAGACCCAGCAGCTTGCTAGCTGTGTGCTTTGGCAATATCCTAAGTACTTAGCCTCATTATAGGAAGGATAATATTAGGATCTACCTCACAGTGTTGCTATGGGGATTAAATGAAATAATGCAGAGAGAGCACTTACTTTATGGTCATTATTATAAAGAGGGAGGCCCCAGGGGCGCGTTATCTGACTGTAGCAATAAAGCAGCCACTTGACATCCTTGGAGCAGAGTCAAGGCAGTGTATAATCACTAAATTTTTGGTACAGGTTCTAAGAGCATCATGGTGGAAGAGAAGGAGAACTTTTATTGAATACTTGCCGTGTGCTGCCCCCCAAGTTAGGTATTCTGTGTAGGTTGGAGCAGTGGGACATAGAGCCAGGAGCATGAGCTTTGGAGTCAGGAACCTGGCTTCCGCTTTCATGCCGTCATTCATTCATTGGCTCAACCAATGATCATCTAGTGCCTGCTGTACACCAGGCCCTCGGGCATTAGTTCCAGACCCAGGAGAAAACCAGACAAAACCCTGCTTTCAGGGCATTTACATTCTCACCGGAAAAGGTGGACAGATAAAAAGACCAGTAAAATAGTCAGCATATAAGATGGAGGTAAGAGCTAGGAAAGAAATAGAGAAGGAATCCAGGGCAGAAGGAGGGGAATGGCAGTTTATACAGAGAGGCCTCATGGATGAGGAAGGATCGTAGCAAAGGTGAGGAGAGATCCCATCTGAGGGAGGAGTGTTCCAGGAAGAGGGAGCAATGACCTTCAAGAGCCCTGAGTGGGAACCCGCAGAATGTGTCAGTAACGGCAAGAGCCCAGTGGCTGAAGCGATGGAGCAAAGGGCAGAGGAGCAGAGCTCAGGTTGGAGAGGGTGTGGTGGACTAGTCCTGGGCCAGCCATAAGCTGTAAAAGGATCAAGTTTGGCAGATGGGTCATTTCTCATTGCTGGAATGTATAGCTTAACGTGTCACGTGTCACGGGTTGGATCCAACCAAAAAAGGATTAATATGGTAATATGGTGAATCACTAGTTGGCTGACCTTGAATAAGGGAACTTAATCACTCTGACTCATAGCTCCACCTCTTAGGGGTTAAATGGACCAAATGACAAAATAGCATCATAAGAAGATGCCTGGGGGCTGGGGTGGGATGTGGGGGGGGGGGCGGGGCGGGATGGCTCATTCAATACAGACCACATTATGGGATGACCTGAGCATTTGGATCTGAATGACGTAGGATACCTAACACGGTCCCAGGAGATATTTTTATCAGAATGGTGTGAGCTGGAAGCTGACAAACAAATTAGGTGTGCGCTGCAGGAAGCCAGATGTGGAGAGAAAGTCTGGCTTAGGGTGTCATCACAGGCATTGTGAGGAAGAGACAGCTGCTGTAAGAATCTTCATCTTTTTTTTTTTTTATTTAATTTTAGCAACAGCTTCAGGATGGGAACGACCCTGACCCCTATGTGAAGATTTACCTCCTTCCTGACCCCCAGAAAACCACTAAAAGGAAAACCAAAGTGGCCCGGAAAACCTGCAACCCTACCTACAATGAGATGGTGTGTAGGGGACATGGCAGGGCTGGGCAGGGTTTGGCAAACTATGCCTGTTCCTAAAAAGAAAGTTGCATTGGGACACGCCACACTTGTGATTTAGGCGTCGTCTGTGACGGCTTTCATGTAGCAATGGCAGGCTTGAGTAGTTTTGGCACAGACTCTACTTCGAAAGCCTAGAAATATTTGCCATGTGTTCCTTTACATAAAAAGCCTCTGACCCTTCGGGTTGGGAGTCCAGAACTGAGGCCTGAGCCCTGTCCTGCGGGGAGCAGGAGCAAGCGAGTCCTGGGCTGGAAATGACCAGTGACCCCAATAAAATGCCCTCACCTGCTTGAACTCTAAGCAGAGAACAAAGTTCTCAAATGCCTCCCTTGGATTCTGTGTGCTTCCTGTATTCCCTTGGGCTCTGCTGGTCTGAAGAAATAAAGTGGTCTCAGTCACAGCCAGATCCCACCAACAGGGACATGAGCACCTCCCTGTCCCCTGTGGCCTGTGCCCCTTCTCTCTCTCACCGCGCCCCTGTCCCCTGTGTTTGCAGTTGGTGTATGATGGGATTCCCAAGGGAGACCTGCAGCAGCGGGAGCTCCAGCTGAGCGTGCTAAGTGAGCAAGGATTCTGGGAGAACGTCCTCCTTGGGGAGGTGCACATCCGCCTGCGGGAGCTGGACCTGGCCCAGGAGAAGACTGGCTGGTTCGCGCTGGGGTCTCGGGGCCATGGGACCTTGTGAGCCCATGGGAGCCACAGCCCAGGACCTCCAGCTGGTGACTGGACCTGGGGCAGTGGACTCTCCCCTGCTCTGCCGTTTAACTCGGGAAGGGGCGGCGTTCTTAGTGGGCCTCCTCCTCCGTCCAGGTGGACCTGGCCTCCATGAGAAGAGGCAGGGAGAGTCGGGTGCTCTCTGCCAGCCCTTCCTCTGCGGACTGAGCTTGAGTTGCTGGTTTGTGCTGAGCAGCCCCTTGGAAGCTGAGAGGCTGCAGCAGAGTTTTAAGTTTACCTTGTGTCAAGGGAGCAATGCCTGGTTTGGGGTGTGTGTGGGGTGGGCCGGACGAGGTAGCATTTGAGGGGAGGGTGGGTGGATATCTTTATTTTTATTTTTAAAAAATGAAATAGTAATGTTGTCCTAACTGGGACAGGAAGCTTTTTGCGAGAAGGGACGTACATATGCCTCAGAAGGCAAGAGGGCAAGACTCTTTGGACTTTTGTATGGTTAAGGTTCTTATTGGACTTTTCCCTAGGATTTTTGTTTTTGTTTTTTTCTAGCTATAGGAATTATTTGAGGAGGGGCCCAGTGGGTCTCAGTCAATGCCTCCCCCTGTCTGAGGGCAGGTTGGAGAGGGACAGGGAGGGTGGTCTGTGCTGGACCGAGGCCTGCACCACTGGGCTGTTCTGATTTTGCCTCCAAAGGAGAGCGACGCGATACCTACATGTGTAAGGAAGGGCCTTCCATGTCGGGCTCCTGCCAAGGACCTGTATTCAGGGACCCATGCTCTGTAGGGGGAGGGGGTTTTCCCCATCTCCCCTTCTCTGTTAGGACTCAGCCTGAATACTGTCCCTCCCCCCGCCCCTCTAGCCCTCTTGGCCCTGCAGTGGGCCCTAGAGTCCCTGTGAATACGCTGGGGGCACTTCCCCATAGGTTTCTCCCTTTTTCCTAGTGGGGCAGAATGGTGGGACACCCAAGGGTGCCCTGGCCCCAGGCGGAGGCCTCTAGGTGGCAGGTGCCAGGGCTGCTGCCTGCTGCTTAGTTTCTGAGGGCATCCCCCCGTTTCCCCCCACTTCTTCCAGCCGAGCTGCTTCTCTTCCCAAATTCATTTCTGTCACGTTTTCTAAGAATTTCCCTCCGTCTGTGGGGCCATCAACCTACATAGTCTGGAGCCAAAGGGATGCCCACTCTGAAGCAAAGCATCATGGGGCAAGGGATTCCACCCACCCCCTTATTATTCCCAGTGATTGGTCAGGAGGCTCATTGGGAGCCGTGGTTGTCACACTGGAGCTGAGCTCAGGGGCTGGGAGGGAGGGACCTGGGGCTCTTACCTCTCTATACTCTTTATTCCCTAACAGATGGATTTTAAAATTCACTGTTGCGTTCCTCCCCCAAGGGTTGTCTTCCTTCAGAAAGAGAAAAGAGGGAGAGACTCTGGATATGATATTAAATTTTTAAACCACACTTGGCTGGATCTGCCCCATGAGTGGGGAAAGGAGTGAAGAGGACATTCTGCAAACTGTCCCCTACCAGCCTCCTCCCCAACTCCAAGGGTCAGAAATTCCCTTTTTTTTCTGACTCTTTCCATTGCCAAGAAAGAAGCTCCATTCATTGAAGCCACAGAACAGCAAGGAAGTTTCAATCTTTGTCTTACATTTTAAAAGCCAGGGATAAGCTGGCTGCAGAGGAGACAGGCTGGGGGAGAGGGAAACGGCAGAACTATTCCAGATGTATGGACCATAAATGTTACTGGCTTTTTGCCCGTAGCACATTTTGACTCTACGCTCCTGATGTAAAGAGGTCTGTGTACTGTACCCACTTCCCAAACCCCTTGTATCTTCTACTTTCTCTGGAATTGTATTTTCTAATAAATGACATTTGAGAAAAACGAAATTACCATTTTAAACATGGATGTGTAAAGGTTTAGATGACAGCCTCTGATGCACAAGATGAAGAATAATGATAGGGGTTTTACAAATGGTAACATGTATGTGCCCTCCTGGCTCACTGCTGAAGGCAATTTCACCTTTGTCAGATGAATCTAGCCTCAGAAGAACTTCATCAGATAGACATGATTATCCCCATTTTTCAGATGAGGAGACTAAAGGTCTGAGAGATTAAGTAACTTGCCTGAGGGCACACAGTCAGTCAGTCTTGGAACTAGGATTTGAACCCAGGTTTGTTTGACTCTGAAGGCAAATGTATTATGCAACCACTGGAGTTGATGTACTATTTGATAGTTTCCGGAGTGTTTTAATATATATTATGTCTTGTTTTTGTTTTTAAATACAGTCACTTCGGGAAGTAGCTATGGCTCATTAATTCTGTCAATAATGAATGTATTGGTGCTACCTAGTGGCATGTCTTCACTCACATTGTGAGGGTACATCTGGAATTATACACTGTTTCCTGTACCAGATCTGCAGCTGAAGGTTATAGAAATAAATTAAAACAATTAATTGTATTTAAGAAGTTTAAGCTGGGTATGGTATCAAGTGCCTGTTAATCCCAGCAACTCTGGAGGCTGAGACAGGAAGATTCCAAGTTGGAGGCCAGCCTGGACAAATTAGCAGAATACTATCTCAAAAAATTTAAAGTAGGGCGTGGTGGCACACGCCTGTAATCCCAGCAGCTAGGGAGGCTGAGGTCAAAGGATTGCAAGTTCAAAGCCAGCAAAAGCCAGGCCCTAAGCAACTCAGTGAGATCCTGTCTCTAAATAAAATACAAAATAGGGCTGGGGGTGTGGCTCAGTGGCTGAGTGCCCCTGTACTGGGGTGGGGGGGAAAGTTTACTATCTAGTGCTGTTTAACCAACTCCATTTTATAAAAGAAACTGAACCTCTTGGGGCGCCTGGTAACTATCAAGCTGTTAGAGCAGAATTATAGCCCAGAAGTGAACCCCCAAATGGAGGATGCAGGGGGTGTGACCCTTGTTCAAACATTTTACCCAGAAGTTGTTAAAAACTCTCTGGTGAGGAGTCTTATTTCATAAGACTGGGGAATTTTGTGGCGTTTCCAGGGGATTTTGCAGCAGTAAACAGTAGAAATGTTACCTGTTATGTTTCTAAGTGCCTTTGAGGGGTTATGGCTGTTCTGGACAAGTCCCTATGGATCTTTTAAAAGTTAAAACTTGAGTCTGGCAAGAGTCTTAGTCAAGGATATTTCCTGGCCAAGTGGAGTAGAAACCTGAACCTCCTGAGGGAGGAGTGGGAATGAGAGCTGGGGGTGGGGGACAGGGTTGCTGGAGAGCAGGGAACAACAGAGGCCCAGGAGGCCAGGTTTTCCCACTTCAAAGAGGTGATGAAAACCAAGTTACCCAACTTGCTGGGATTTGGAGGGGAAAGATTAGATTGGATTTCAAAGGTTAACAACAACAACAAAAAAAGTAGCATTTTTAAGTGGATGGATAATTCTGATGGCTGGGACTTGTCTGAGGTATCTGATCAGGTAGACAACACTGAGGGCCCTCGGGCAGGTGAGGAGTCAGGTGCAGTGTGGCTACTCAGATGACCCAGGTGTGGATCCTGTCCTCAAGGAACTTAGTATAGCAAGGGAGGCAGTCACCCCTCTGTATTGGTGGCTCTGTATTTCAACCAGGGATGAAAGATATTTATATTTAAAAAAACAAACAAACAAAAAAATTGCATCTAAATTGAACAAGTGCAGATGTTTTTTTTTTTTTTTTAAATTTTGGTCAGCATTCCCTAAACTATGCAGTCTAACAATTGTTTACATAACATTTACACTATGTTAGGCAATATAAGTAATCTGGACATGAGTTAAATATGTGGGAGGATTGGATAGGTTATGTGCAAATACTAGGCCATTTTTTATTATAAGAGACTTGAGATTCGGGGATATTGGTAATTGCAGCAGGTCCTGAAACAAAAACCCACCTCCATGCCCAGGGACAACTGCAATTATAGTACAGTGACAAAGGGAAAGAAGAGGGGTGGTATGGGCAGAGGCGGCTTCACAGAGGAGATATTTGAACTGAGTTTTAAAGTCTCATTTTTTTCCTTTTCTTTCTTTTTAATATTTATTTTTTCGTTGTAGTTGGATACAATATAATTAATTAATTAATTAATGATATTAGGTGAGCGCTCTACTGCTGAGCCACAACCCCAGCCCCTTAAAGTCTCATGTAAAGATACAGCATTAATCTCTAGGATTTATAAATAACTCAAAAAAACTTAACAACAACAACAACAAAAAAAAGGCCCAAATAACCCAATCAATAAATGGGCAAAGGAACTGAACAGGCACTTCATAGAAGAAATATGATTGGTCAACAAATACATGAAAAATGTTCAACATCTCTAGCAACTAGAGAAATGCAAACTAAAATCACACTGAAGGGCGGGGTTATAGCTCAGTGGCAGAGTGCTTGGTTCAGTGGTGAAGCACTGGGTTCGATCCTAAGCACCACATAAATAAATAGAATAAAGGTCCATTGACAACTAAAAAATATTAAACACACACACACACACACACACACTTGAGATTCCATCTCACTCCAGTCAGAATGGCAATTATCAAGAATACAAGTAACGAACATTGGCAAGGATGTTGGGGAAAGGTCCCCTCAGACATTGTTTATGAGACTGCAAATTGGTGCAACCACTCTGGAAAGCAGTACGGAGATTCCTCAGAAAACTTGGAATGGAACCACCTTTTGACCCAGTCATCCCACTCCTCAGCATATGCCGCAGTCTGGCTGGGCACAAAATCACGAGCCACTCACAGCCTTGTAGATTCAAACAGCAAGTCTTTATTCCCGACCTCTCACCGGCACTCTAGACGCACGCACGTTCTGGGGGAAATCCACCGGCACTCTACATCCCAAATACTCTCTCAATCCCTGGAGAACTCAAAGGGAACTGAAGGAGTGGGCGGGCGCTTGAGGCAGCAGGATACGCCGTATTCCCAGCAGGAATCACCTTAAACCTGGAACCGCCCTAAACCCCGATCCACCCTAAACCCTGATCCGCCCTAAACCCGGATCTGCCCTGGTCCTTGAGCAGGGTCACCTTACTCAAACTTCATGCAATGTCACTGCAAATGACCTGGGTCCAAGGCAAGTCCATTTCCACAATGGAGAGTCCTTCCTCTAAGCAACATGGGGTAGGCTGACAAAGAAATTGCCATGCGTCATTCCTACTTGGCAATGGCTCTCAGCAAGCATATACCCAAAGGAACTTAAAATCAGCATACTATACTGACATGGCCACATCGATGTTTATAGTAGCTCAATTCACAGTAGCCAAGCTATGGAACCAACCTAGGTACCCTTCAATAGATGAATGGATAAAGAAAATGTGGTAAATATAATACACAATGGAATATTATGCAGCCACAAAGAAGAATGAAATTATGGCATTTGCTGGTAAATGGATGGAACTAGAGATTATCATGCTCAGTGAAATAAGCCAATCCCCAAAACCCAAAGGCCAAATGTTTTCAGATGCAGATGCTAATTCACAATAAGGTGAGGGGGAGGAAAGAATAGAAGTTCTGTGGATTAGACAAAGGGGAATGAAGGGAAGGCGGGGATAGGAAAGACAGTAGAATGAGTTAGACATAACTTTCCTAAGTTCACATATGAATATACAACCAGTGAAAAACTCCATATCATGTACAGCCACAAGAATGGGATCCTAATTAGAATAAGTTATACTCCATGTATGTAAAATATGTCAAAATACACACTACTGTCATGTGTATCTAAAAAGAACAATTTTTTTTTTTTTTAAAGTCAGCACTCTGGACTTTACTAATAGAGTAAAGGGGATGCCATTGGTGGGTTTTGAGAAAAGGTGGCAGTGTTGCTATTTTTTTTTTTTTTTGTAGTACTGGGGGTTGGATCCAGGGGGCATGCTAGGTAAGTTATTTCTACTTCTGACTTACATCCCCAACCCTTTTTGTCTTATTTTGAGGCAGGGTCTCCCAAAATTGCTCAGGGCTGGCCTTGAACTTGCAATCCTGCCTCAGCCTCCTGAGTAGCAGGGATTACAGGTATGGCCACCACCAGGCCCAATTTACAAGAGACTCAGGGTGTAGCTCAATGGTAGAGTGCTCGCCTAAGCGTGAGGTCCTGGATTCCGCTGCCCTGGGTTCAATTCCCGAAAGGGAAAGAGGAGTCACAGATGAACCTGGGTCTGGGAGTCTAGTTCAATGGTAAAGCAGGTAGGTGCTAAGAGTTAACGTGGAAAAGCCCAGTCAAGACCTTTGACTTAATCATGGTAAGTTTGAGACACCCGATAGACACCCAGTTGGAGAAGGAGTAGAATGGAACCTGAAGTCCAAGGGAGAGTTGTCTGGAGTTTAGATAGGGAACTCATCAGAATGTAGGCTGCCTTTAATTCCATGGAACTGGACGAGATCACTCAGGTTTGAGAAGCCAGGAGAACAGGAGGGACTGAGGCCAACATTCAGAGGAAGAAGCACAGGCACTGAAATGATAGGAAAACGAGACGAATGGTGTTGGGGGAAAACTAAAGAGGTATGGTCAGTTTCCCAGGGCTGCCTTACCAAGCACCCCACACGGACTGGCTTTCAAACAGAAATTTGTCTCATAGCTCTGGAGGCTGGAAGTCCCAAGGTCAAGGAGTCAGCAGGGTTTGTTTCACCAGAGGAAGAATCTGATCCAGGCCTGTCTCCTAGTTTCTGGTTATTTGCTGGCAATCTTTGGTATTTCTGGGCTTAGAGATACACACCCCCTGATCTTGGCCTTCATGTCCACCTGAAGGCCATGTGCATGCAAGTGACTGTGTCCAGCTTCCCCTTTTAACCAAGATACCCTGATATTGGATTAGGCCCCCACCCTAACTACTTCCACTTAACTTGATTATGTGCAAAGAACTTATTTTCAAAAAAGGCCATATTGGGAAGTCC